AGCTTGCAAAACAACCCGACAGATGGCCTCGTTGCTGTTCTGGACATGGAAGGGGTAACCGACCTTGATCTCACAGAGATTTGCTCCCAACTACATGTTTTCTTTAAGGTTGGCCTTCTGCATCTCACTAGGGTACGGCTGGGCCCAATACGTCACTTTTTCCAGTTCCTTCAAGAGGGTATGCCTGTGCAGCTAAAAGAAATTCACGTGCTTAATACTGCTAGTTATATCGATAAATTTTTGGCGCTGGTTAAGTGTTTCATGAAGCCTGAGTTAATGGACTTGGTAAGTGGGATTAATTAATAAAGTAATAGCAATATTTTGTAACAGAAACTTAATTCTTTCCTTAAATGGTTACTATAAAGTAATAAACATTTAAGTAAAACTTGGTTGCCCCCAAGGAAACTTTGCATCTTTAAAAAAGGTGTTATAAGTAAAAAAAAACTTTCAAGTAAATTTAATTTGTAGCAGTTACTTTCGGTTGCTACCTAAAGATTACATTATAATTATTTTTACTTTGTAGTCCCTTTGCAAGTTAAAATCTCGAAACTGGAACATGAGTTAAAAACTACAAAGTTAATAACTTAGAAGTTATTATTTTAGTATTTGGAACGTTTATGGTACTAACCAAAACTACCGTAAAGTAAATTAAGGTGGAAAAAAACTTTAAAGTAGCGAAAACTACTTCAAAGGAAAATGCTTCTTATCGGCCATTGTTTACTGTACAGTAGGTAACACGTGGTAATGTAAATAATAAATTATTTTAATTGTTTGTAAATGGTTGTTTACTTTTTAATAAGTAGTAATTTTGTTGCTAATAGACGGTATTAATAATTAAATAAAAAATTAATAATAAATATTAAGATTTTTTTATTTATAAACATTATTAAATAAATAATTTTTTTATAGGTACTTAATTATTGATGAAGCGCATTTGTTTTACAAAAACTAAATTCAAAAGTTCAACAGTAAAATTTAAAGGGTTTATAAATGTACCTGCCTAATTAAACATTATATTGTTATTCTGGAAGTTATAAACTTCCAGTACATATTTAACACATTCACTGCCCACCCCAAAAAAGAGTATTGCTTCAGGTGCCACCTAAATTTTTCTTCATATTTTTTTATTTAAATAAGTGCATCTTGTTTCAAATAAATTCTAGTATAGGTTTTCAATTTTATTTTTTGCAAAAAACAAAAAACGCACCAGTTGTGGGCACTGGTTGAGTGATAAACCATGTTCAGTGCCTATAAACAGAAACATAAATCATAATAACGCGTTCTTGTTAATAAAATGGGAAAATCTTGTAAAATAATGTTATTTATTATTAAGAACGCGCCTAGCGCGGTGTGGGCATATGGCCGCAGTACTTGTAAACGCGCCACGCGCGTTTTGGGCAGTGAATGTGTTAATAAACGACGACATTGGAAAGCCAAGTCCGTAGTGGTTTCATTTAAAAAAAGGAGGGATAGTATAATCTAATATAAGTTTGACAAAGACAGTTAATATAGAAGTAAAAACAAATAAATAAAAGTAATTATAACGCTCTAGCAACGATATTGAAACGTTCTAGTAATGTAGCAGCTACGTTCCAAATAGTAGCAGGGTTTATAGCTAGTGACATATTTGTTACCTTTTTGGAACTCAATCATTATTTCCCACTTTAGTCGTAACTTAGTAATGAAAGAGTAATATCGCAAAACAATAGTCCCATTTACGTAGCAAATACTTAAATTGTTGCTTGGGAAAGGAGGTGAAAAATTTCTTTATAACAACATTAATTTTAGATTAAAACACATCCTCCTGGTATGGACATGAACGACTTCTTCAAATACCATTTGCCAAAAAGTTGTATGCCAAGAGATTACGGAGGATCTTTACCCAGCATAGACGATCTACAGGAAGAAACCAAAAAACAACTGAAAAATCTGCAACCATATTTCGAATATGAAGAACACATGCGGCACAATGTGAATTTGCACAAAGAAATCCACAACTTAAAGGAGAAAAAATACACATGAATTTTGTTACAATTTTATTACCAACATTACACAATAAAAACCCCAAATCTTACAATCACATCAAAATTTAGCCTTTTATTTCTAGAATTACCGCTATATTTTCACCAGTACTAACCGGTTTATACTCCAAGTTCCACAGACTAGTCAGTAGCAATGATTCGCCTCTTTTTAAGGTTATGTTCAGCGTATTACAATAATTCTCGCAATTTTTCCTCGGTAACAATCTAAACTCAGTTTCTCCGTAAACCTGACCAATCAGAGTATTCTTCTCCATCAAATCTATAGCCTTAAATTTGGTCGTGTTGAAATCCCTATTCCATAACAACCAGTTGTACAAAATAGGGGACAAAACTTCTGGCAAAAATTCAGGGGCAAATGAATGTTTTCGAAAAACCCTCATAGCTTCATAGCCGCAATTTTGAAAATGCATAAAAAAATTACCAAACTTCCTCGCTTTTTCAATCAAGTTTCCCACCGATATTTTTGCTTCGCCCTGTATACTAGAAGCCATCATACACGGCATAGAATCATAAATAACATCTTCCCCATAAATATCGTCAATAAATTTATCGTCCAAATTCCACATACTCAGCCCATTTTCAATTATTACTGGCCTATGAACCTCCAAATAATTCTCCAACAAAACATCAGGGGTGATATTTTGAAATTCCCGCCCCGCGTCTGCCAAATACTCGCACATTCCGCAATTAAAGTCGATTTTCTGAGGCGGCTCTGGATATTTCAACAAACAATTGCCATCAAGTCTCGTCCAATCATACAACGGCAGCATTTTAATCATCAAAATCCTACCAATCGCTGACATATTCCAACTAAACCTGTCATTGTAGGTCAAAAAATAGCTCAATGTCAAAATAACTGCCGATATTACAAAATTTCTTACTATCTTGTCGATTTTATTTTGTTTTTTCAAAATTGGGGCGAATATTCTCCGAATTTCTTCGTCGTTGTATTTTTTGTCCACCAAATATTTGTATAATTCGTTTATTTCCTCGTTGAAATCGTTGTTCTTCGCCATCTACAACATATACCTTATTTAGTCCGACACTGTACCACAAAAACGCAATATAAATGTCCACAACTGTATAACACACGCTGAAAAAGCGCATGCGCGACTTAAAGTCACATGATTATTTTCAAACATTTTTAACAATAAAGAAATTGTTTAAAATTACCATATTTGTCTTTATTTTTGTTTTATAAACCAAATATAAGAGCTGTTTTAATTTCAACATGTGAGGTATGCAACCAAGATTGCATCTAAATGTAAACTTTCTAAATATAAAAAGAAATTTAAAGAAACTCTGGTAACATGCTAATTAAAAATGAATAAAGAATAATTTTATAATTTTGCATGAACTTTACATATAATATAAAATATATTATATTATTTAGCATATTGAAGCAGGCAAAATCATAATAAACTTAAAACTATTGAATATGTTGAAAAACGTCATAAAACAACGTTTGAAAGTATATTGTGGGTTTAAGGATGATTGTAAATACCTTTTTGAGTGTATAAATAATAAAACACACAGACAACAGGTTGTAGTTGGTTGAAATGCATAAAATTGTTGGCGCAGGAGCGCGATTATTGATTATTTGAAATTTGGCGCCGTCGACATGATTTTGCGCTTGATTGGCGAGCATGCGCCGTTCGCATTGCCATTCTAGTTTACTAAACAGCAACTTTAATTTTTAGTTAAAAGTAATTCTAACTTTTAAATAGCAATATTTTGTAACAGAAACTTCATTCTTTCCTTAAATGGTTACTATAAAGTAATAAACATTTAAGTAAAACTTGGTTGCCCCCAAGAAGACTTTGCAACTTTAAAAAAGGCGTTATAAGTAACTAGGTACCTTAAGATTACATTATAATTATTTTTACTTTGTAGTCCCTTTGCGAGTTAAAATCTCGAAACTGGAACATGAGTTAAAAACTACCAAGTTAATAACTTAAAAGTTATTATTTTAGTATTTGGAACGTTTATGGTACTAACCAAAACTACCGTAAAGTAAATTAAGGTAGAAAAAACTTAAAGTAGCGAAAACTACTTCAAAGGAAAATGCTTCTTATCGGTCATTTTTTACTGTACAGTAACACGTGTTAATGTAAATAATAAATTATTTTAATTGATTGTAAATGGTTGTTTAATATATTTTAATTTTGTTGGTAATAGACGGTATTAATAATTAAATAAAAAATTAATAATAAATATTAAGATTTTTTTATTTATAGACATTATTAAATAAATAATTTGTTTATACTTAAATATTGATGAACGCATTTATTTTACAAAAACTAAATTCATAAGTTCAACAGTAAAATTTAAAGGGTTTATAAATGTACCTGCCTAATTAAACATTATATTGTTATTCTGGAAGTTATAAACTACCAGTACATATTTAATAAACGACGACATTGAAAAGCCAAGTCCGTAGTGGTTCCATTTAAAAAACGAGGGATAGTATAATCTAATATAGGTTTGCCAAAGACATTTAATATAGAAGTAAAAACAAATAAATAAAAGTAATTATAACGCTCTAGCAACGATATTGAAACGTTCTAGTAACGTAGCAGCTACGTTCCAAATAGTAGCAGGGTTTATAGGTATCTAGTGACATATTTGTTACCTTTTTGGAACTCAATCATTGTTCCCCACTTTAGTGACTAAAGTTTAGTCGTAACTTAGTAATGAAAGAGTAATATAAAAAGACCGGCGACTGTCGCAAAACACTTTAAAGTTTCTTCAATAGTCCCATATACGTAACAAATACTTAAATTGTTGCTTGGAAAATGAGGTGAAAAATGTCTTTATAACAACATTAATTTTGGATTAAAACCCACCCTCCTGGTATGGACATGAACGACTTCTTCAAATACCACCTGCCAAAAAGTTGTATGCCAAAAGATTACGGAGGAACCTTACCGAGCATAGAAGATCTACAGGAAGAAACCAAAAAATCTGCAACCATATTTCGAATATGAAGAACACATGCGGCACAATGTGAATTTGCACAAAGAAATCCACAACTTAAGGAAGAAAAAATAGACATGAATGTTGTTACAACTTTATTACCAACATTACACAATAAAACTCCCAAATCTAACAATCACATCAAAATCTAACCTTTTATTTCTAGAACTACCGCTATATTTTCACCAGTACACTGAGAAAAAAGTTTATTGCTCCCAAATAAAAAAAATATTTTAATAAAGGGACAAGGGTACAGTTTATTTATCCTAAATATATTTTTATTCCCGACACATAAAGTTTTACTAAAGTATATTTATCGTTATTATTTCGACTATTTAGAGGTAATAAACAATATATTCACTATTAATAAAAATATTAGCTACACAGTTTATTTGTCCCATTTTTTTCTCAGTGTACTAACTGGTTTATACTCCAAGTTCCTCAGACTAGTCAGTAGCACGGCATATTCCAAATAAACATGTCATTGTAGGTCAAAAAATAAGTATATGTCAAAACAACTATGAAAACTAAGATAGTCTGGTAGATTTTTTTTTTTAAAAGTGGGGCCATTATTCTATAAATTTCTTCGTCACTGTAGTTTTCATCAATCAAATATTTGTATGTGTCGTGTATCTCCTGGTTTAAATCGTCGTTCACCATCTACAAAATATACCATATTTAGTCCGACACTGTACAACAAAAACGCAATATAAATGTCCACAACTGTATAACACACGCTGAAAAAGCGCATGCGCGACTTAAAGTCACATGATTAATTTTCAAAAAATTTTAACAATAAATAAATTGTTTAAAATTACCATATTTGTCTTTATTTTTGTTTTTTAAACCAAATATAAGAGCTGTTTTAATTTCAACATGTGAGGTATGCAACCCAGATTGCATCTAAATGTAAACTTTCTAAATATAAAAAGAAATTTAAAGACTCTGGTAACATGCTAATTAAAAATGAAAGTAAATATTTGAATAAAGAATAATTTTATAATTTTGCATGAACTTTACATGTAATATAAAATGAGGAGTGATTTTTCAAAAGGTCGTATTTCCATTTGCAACAATTTTTCAAAAAAATGACTATAACCTGTATAGGTTAGGGCAATATAGATTATTTAAAAAAAAATCTGATGAATATTTAATAATACTTCAGACCTGCTGTCATATTTCGCCGTTAATATATGCCTTTTAACCATACCTTTAGGATTTTGTCAAAAAAATACATTCAAGTAAAAATGGAAATAAGGCCTTTTGAAAAATCACTCCTCAAATGTATTATATTATTTAGCATATTGAAGCAGGCAAAATCATAATAAACTTAAAACTATTGAATATGTTGAAAAACCTCATAAAACAACGTTTGAAAGTATATTGTGGGTTTAAGGATGATTGTAAATACCTTTTTGAGTGTATAATTAATAAAACACACAGACAACAGGTTGTAGTTGGTTGAAATGCATAAAATTGTTGGCGCAGGACCGCGATTATTGATTATTTGAAATTTGGCGCCGTCGACATGATTTTGCGCTCGATTGGCGGGCATGCGCCGTTCGCATTGTCATTCTGACAGAATTCTCGGTCCGTGAATTTGTTTATCAGCGATAATTTCGTTCCGTGGACCCGGAACTCCGGAAAATTGGACGAGTTTCGAACAAAAAACGAACCTCGGAAAAATAGTTTTTCGCGCGGGAGATAATTCGCCGTCGCCCGAATGCGTACGGCAAAACAAAATAACAACGATTATTACGTCACTAAGCCATTTTGTATTTCGTGAACGGATCTAGTTTGTGTTTGACGGCGTTGTTTTCGGCCGTGTTTTCGATTTCGGTATTTTCGTGAGGCGGTGCACAGAAAAGAATTCAAAATTCCGGTACCGACGAGAAACAAGGACTATACCGGCCATTTCGGTAACGGTGACATGAACAAACGGAAGAGCCGTGGTGGACCTATAAGGTATGTACCAAATCCCCCAGTATTTCCCACAAAATAACCCTTGAAAACCAAAGAAAACCCACAAGAAATTTCAATTAAATGTGCTACTGTCATGCGAAAAAAGACAATTGACAATCTCCATTGACATTTCGGCCACCATCTTTTGTTTTTGTTAACCCAAAATTGCCCATTTTACGTCAAAACTTCACCTTATCTAAAATGTTATTATTCTAACCAAAGTTTTAGGGAATATTTAGAAACATATAAACATGGAAACAAAGTACTCCTTAAAATACAATGAAAGCCCCAGGCATTTCCAGCGAATGTGATGTCACCTTAAAAAAAGACAATTTACACTGTCAAATTGTAACCAAAGTTTTAGGGAATATTTAGAAGGTTATAAACATGGAACAAAGAAATAATGCAATGGAATAACCTTGTGTTATAATTAATATTTTTATTGGAAAACCACCTTCAATTAATGTAGTGGTGCTCAATTGCCAAAAAGTATTAATTATTAAGTTTGCAAGCTCAAAATGATGTTATCGATGTATGTTAAAAAGGTTTTTTAATCATATTTTTCTTGTCTCTGGTTTAATTTTTTGTACACAAACACTAGACGAATGTTTTTGAAGGTTTTCATTTTTAAAAGTTTTCAAGTTTTACCTTTAAACAATAGACAAGTGTTAAATTCTTGATAACAAATCAATTTTCTTGTTTTTATTTTTGTTATTGAAAACTAATATATGTAGGTATTTTAGCAGTTTATATTTACAAATATCCCCTCAATAGAATGTTTTGTTCCTTGTTTCTGATAATTTGCAGCAAAAATTTACCTCCCATTATTATTCAATTACCTGAACATTTTTAATTTTATTACTTTTGCCATACCTCCAGCAGATGTTTTTAGTTACTTTAAACCTGATTTTCATTGAATTGAAACTACTTACTTATTGCCATTGTGCATGTGGGTTAAAAAGTGTTAAAAGAAGTTATTGTGCTTAATTTGGCAACAACATTTATAAAATCAGTGACTAAAGTAGTGTATTTTTGGATGTAAGTAGGCCATGCTGATCTTTATTTTGAGGTTATATGTACATACATAAAATTCAATATTTTTTGTGTTGGCCCTAAAATTTGAAAATTTAGATATTTTGACTTTTTGAGAATGTTTTATTGTACACTTTGACATTTAAATTAGAAATGCAGTTAAATAATTGAGGTTGTGTATAAAATGTCAAAATACACTTCTACATTTGGAAAATTCAGCTTTTTAAAATTTTGATTGTAAAGAAATAAATAATTAATGTGCTTGGTTTATAGAGTTAGTTATTATCATTAAATTTTGATATTGCTAATTGTTTTTTAGTATATTTAAAAGTATACATTATTTAGTTTTTCATTTTGGCATTTTTTACTTTAAGAAATATTTAGTGTAAGAAAAACGCTAATTGTACATTTTTAATGCACCTTTTTTATCGATTTTCAATAAATATAGGTTTAAGTGTATCATTACAGCCATTACCACAACCTATTTTATAAAAAAAAATTTAATTATTTTTTTATTCTTTCACCTATAAAACGCCCATTATCGTACATGTTTCCATGACGCTAAGTGACCTTTTAAATACACATTGACAAGTTGTGGCTTTATGGCGCTTTAGTCACAGGCTGAGGTTAGCTTTAAGTTAGTTGACAGTTTGTCAAATGTCATACAAGTATTTATTTCTTGAAGCCAATATTTAAAACAATTATATAATAATAGTAGTAGTAGTGCAGTTAACTAGATTTAACTGATAATGCGTGAAAACCTGCTTCTATATCGAATGTTAGTCTATTTTCAAGAGATAAATTTTGATTTACACAGAAAAATTTGTTTTATTAAACTTGATACATAATATGTATTATTATATAATTTATTTTTCCAATTTTTAATTTAAAAAACAATAATTGTTTTTTTAAATCATTATTATTATTATATTCATAACGTGTGTGAATCACAGTGTGATATACGATATAGTAAGAACACAACGTTGTCAAGATTATTAACATGTCCTTTATTATTTTTCCTGCATTACTTTAGAGAATATAGCAATGATATCCAATTCAGCTGATAACAAGTAATACAATACATAATATGTATGGACTGTATTTGAATTTAATAAAAATATAGGTGTCCCTAAACTTGGTGGCATAAATTTAGGAAATAATACAAAAAATTTTCCTAATTACTTATATTTCCAACATACAGGGTGATAAAGTGTTACTTATATCAGTTTTTTTAATATTACTTCTACTATGGTAGACTTGGAAAAGTGATATTTTAAGAACTACCAATACACAAATTCAGACTTTATTACAATTTTTTAAGTGAACACAGTGTCAAGTCAAGTCTATCACAATAGAAGTTATATTAAAAAAATCTGATTTTATAAGTAACAGTTATTACCCTGTAGTTTTACCCTTACTCTCTATTTATCTGAACCACCCCTCATAAAAAATTTGAAAAAGTTATTATTACATCTTATTGGCCATAAAAAGTTTGATTAATTCCCAAAATTTCACGTTTCTATCTTGAAGAGTATAGGAGATATTAAATAAAAACTATAGGATTTTTTTTCTTATTTTTGTACTATGCTCCACACCTCAAAGTCCCACCACGTGACCACGTACGGAACGCAGTCTTTTGAAAATTTGGCATTTAAGGCTTTTTAGGTTATGTATCTGTCAAAGTATAGTCAACGAAAGAAATAATATGATGTTTAGGCGTTAAAAATGTATAAATCTTTATAACATTACAATAACAATGGATGGTTTAAGAATATAAATACTGCATTTAATGAAATTCTAAAGTGTATGGTGCCAAATAAGTAATATTTTTGGTTTTCTCCATAAAATAATTTTAACTAAAAGTATTTATTTAAAAAAATCTAGCTTTTCTATTATGGAATAAGAATATCTGTTTTAAAGGTAGGTTAATAAATTATAACAAAAATATCATCTAATTTTGCAATTTTAAGGTTATAAAAATTTATTTTGACCAAAATAAATAAGTATTTTAGATTATTTAAAAGACTGTATATTATGGTATTTAAAAATGTGGTATTTTTTCTTATCTTATCTTAAAGTGTACCTACATAAAGTTTTGTCAATACAAATAGTTAAAAAGCTTCGACTGAACTTGATCTACATCGAAAAATCATTATAACTTTAAAAATTTTAATTAAATATTTTCACATTGCAAGTTTCTCTAAAAATTGTTCATTTTCTTATAATCTAATTTAAAGTAGGTATGCCGAGAGGTATGCACAAGTTTTGTCATTAGAAGTATAAAAGCTTCAATTTAATTTTAACCATATTCAACAATTATTTAGTATACCTATATTTACACACTCTTCCAAATAATCCACTTTTTTTTTGGTCAAAATAGATTTTTCTAACCTTAAAATACAAAATGAGATGATATTTTTTGTTCTAATACATTAACCTACCTTTGATACAGATATTCTTATTTCATAATAGAGAAGTTAGATTTTTTTTAATAAATGATGTTTAGTTAAAACTATTCTATGGATAAATGTAGACCCAATGCACAAAAATATCACTTATTTGGAACTATACACTTAAGAATTTCATTAAATGTAGTAGTTAAATTCCTAAATTCCTAAAACAAAGATTGTTATTGTGATATTATAAAGATTTATTAACTTTTAAAGCTTAAACATAAGCGGTAACACTATAAATATTATTTCTTTCATTGTGGGACACCCTGTATATTATTATTATAATGCTCAGTACATTTTATTTGGCCACTGAATATTTGAACAGTATAAATTTTAAAAATTGTAATTTTTTTTTGTAATATCAGATATTTGTGATTCTTGATTTCATTTTTCTGTTATTTTTTTTTTGTAGGAACCAGAGGCCCAAGAACGCCGCTACGCCTACTACGGTCCCTGCAGAGGGTGTCTACGCCAATGCCCACTTCATGCACGCTGCCACCTCGCTGGTGGGGGCGGTGGTGAGACTGAAGACGGTCAGCGGCTCAGTTTGGGAGGGAATATTTCGCACGTTCTCGCAAAATTTCGACGTCGTCTTGGAGGTAGCTGCCAAGGTGGAAAACCCCAACTCCTCCAATCCGACCTTAGCGGCCGACACCTACATCGACAAGCTGGTGTTCAAGCTTGGAGACATACTCAGGTAAACGGAATAGGACTAATATGTTTATTAGACTGGGCCAAAAAAATTGACTATATATTTTTTTGAAAAATATATCGAGAATTTCATTCACATTTCCCCATAAAATAAACTGCTCGTCATAAAAAACGACGCACCTAGTTTTTTGGAAAATATTTGAAAGCTCGTTATTGGAAAATTAATGAATCGATTTTGAAAATCTTTGAAAATTCTGAATAGCTGATTCTTTGACTCTTATGTCTAATTTTGGGAATACGATATTTTGCACATAGCATTATACTACAGGGTGTTAAACGAAGAGATGCATTTTTTTCGAAATTTCAAGTTATTCCAATTCATAGGGCAGTTGACTTTGATAGTCGTTATACCCCTCCCTGATATAAGTTGGGTAATCCCTCGGAACGTTTTCGAGATTTTGTGGATATCTTGGCTAACTACGATTAGGTATATGCCAATTTTTTGAAAATTGACCTTATTCCCCAGTTTAGTCCAAAAAATGAGCAATAGTGGATTCTTTGACTTACGTCTAATTTTGGGAATACGATATTGTGTACATGACATTATACTACAGGGTGTTAAAAAAAGAGATGTTTTTTTCAAAAATTTCAAATACACATTCACAGGGCAGTTGTGCTTGATAGTCGTAATACCCCTCCCTAGTAACAGTTAGGTAATCTCTCGGGACGTTTTCAAGATTTTGTGAATATCTTGGCTAACCACGATTATATGGCAATTTTTCGAAAATTGTCGTTATTCTCCATTTTAGTCCAAAAAATGAGCAATAGTTGATTCTTTGACTCTTATGTCTAATTTTGGAAATACGATATTGTGCACTTAGCTACATACTACACGGTGTTAAAAAAAGGGATGTTTTTTTTCCAAAATTCCAAATCCCCATTCACAGCGCAGTTGAGCTTGATAGTCGTAATACCCCTCCCTAATAACAGTTAGGTAATCCCTCGGGATGTTTTCGAGATTTTGTGGATATCTTGGCTAACTACGATTATATGGCAATTTTTTGAAAATTGTCGTTATTCTCCATTTTAGTCCAAATAATGAGCAATAGTTGATTCTTTGACCCTTATGTCTAAGTTTGGGAATACAATATTGTGCACATAGCATGCTACTACAGGGTGTTAATAAAGCTCAACTGCGCTGTGAATGGGGATTTGGAATTTTGGAAAAAAACATCTCTTTTTTTTAACACCCTGTAGTATGTAGCTAAGTGCACAATATCGTATTCCCAAAATTAGACATAAGAGTCAAAGAATCAATTATTGCTCATTTTTTGGACTAAAATGGAGAATAACGACAATTTTCGAAAAATTGCCATATAATCGTAGTTAGCCAAGATATCCACAAAATCTCGAAAACGTCCCGAGGGATTACCTAACTGTTACTAGGGAGGGGTATTACGACTATCAAGCACAACTGTCCTGTGAATGTGTATTTGAAATTTTTGAAAAAAACATCTCTTTTTTTAACACCCTGTAGTATAATGTCATGTACACAATATCGTATTCCCAAAATTAGACGTAAGTCAAAGAATCCACTATTGCTCATTTTTTGGACTAAACTGGGGAATAAGGTCAATTTTCAAAAAATTGGCATATAATCGTAGTTAGCCAAGATATCCACAAAATCTCGAAAACGTTCCGAGGGATTACCCAACTTATATCAGGGAGGGGTATAACGACTATCAAAGTCAACTGCCCTATGAATGGGAATAACTTGAAATCTCGAAAAAAATGCATCTCTTCGTTTAACACCCTGTAGTATAATGCTATGTGCAAAATATCGTATTCCCAAAATTAGACATAAGAGTCAAAAAATCAGCTATTCAGAATTTTCAAAGATTTTCAAAATCGATTCAGTAATTTTCCAATAACGAGTTTTCAAATATTTTCCAAAAAACTAGGTGCGTCGTTTTTTATGACGAGCAGTTTAGTTTTAACTAAACACCATTTATTAAAAAAAATCTAACTTCTCTATTATGAAATAAGAATATCTGTTTCAAAGGTAGGTTAATGTATTAGAACAAAAAATATCATCTAACTTTGTATTTTAAGGTTAAAAAGTGGATTATTTGGAAGTTAATATGGTCATAAATAAATATAGGTATACTAAATAATTGTTGAATATGGTTAAAATTAAATGGGAGCTTTTATACTTCTAATGACAAAACTTGTGCATACCTCTCGGCATACCTACTTTAAATTAGATTATAAGAAAACGAACAATTTTTAGAGAAACTTGCAATGTGAAAATATTTAATACTCCCATGGCACATGATTTATTAAATTTTTTAAAGTTATAATGATTTTTCGATGTAGATCAAGTTCAGTTGAAGCTTTTTAACTATTTGTTTTGACAGAACTTTATGTAGGTACACTTTAAGCTGGATAAGAAAAACTATCACATTTTTAAATACCATATTATACAGTCTTTTAAATAATCCAAAATACTTATTTATTTTGGTCAAAATAAATTTTTCTAACCTTAAAATTACAAAATTAGATGATATTTTTGTTATAATTTATTAACCTACCTTTAAAACAGATATTCTTATTCCATAATAGAGAAGCTAGATTTTTTTTAATAAATGCTGTTTAGTTAAAATTATTTTATGGAGAAAACCAGATATTTGGACCAAATGCACAAAAATATTACTTATTTGGCACTATACACTTTAGAATTTCATTAAATGCAGTATTTATATTCTTAAATTCTTAAACCATCCATTGTTATTGTAATGTTACATATTAAACATCATATTATTTCTTTCGTTGACTATACTTTGACAGATACATAACCTGAAAAGCCTTAAATGCCAAATTTTCAAAAGACTGCGTTCCGTACGTGGTCACGTGGTGGGACTTTGAGGTGTGAAGCATAGTACAAAAATAAGAAAAAAAATCCTATAGTTTTTATTTAATATCTCCTATACTCTTCAAGATAGAAAGGTGAAAGTTTAGGAATTAATCAAACTTTTTATGGCCAATAAGATGTAATAATAACTTTTTCAAATTTTCCATGAGGGTAAAACTACAGGGTAGTTATAATATCAGTTTTTTTTTAATATAACTTCTACTATGATAGACTTGACTTGACACTGTGTTCACTTAAAAAAATTGTAATAAAGTCTGAATTTGTGTATTGGTAGTTCTTAAAATATCACTTTTCCAAGTCTACCATAGTATAAGTAATATTAAAAAAACTGATATGATAAGTAACACTTTATCACCCTGTATGTTGGAAATATAAGTAATTAGGAAAAATATTTATTTAGTTTTTTGTATTATTTCCTAAATTTATGCCAAGTTTAGGGACACCTATATTTTTATTAAATTCAAATACAGTCCATACATATTATGTAATGTATTACTTGTTATCAGCTGAATTGGATATCATTGCTATATTCTCTAAAGTAAGGCATATTTTTTTTTTTGAAAAATATATCGAGAATGTCATTCAGAATGACAAAAAAAATTTCGTGAAAATTTGAGCCCTTAATATTAATTTTAAGAGGTATTTTTGATTTTTAGTCATAATATGATGTTTCAAGTTAGAACTGTCAAAACATTAAAGTGAAAAAAATTCCTTTTCACTTATTTTTATATTAAATTAAATTCTCTACAAAAAAGGTCTGATTGAAAATTTTCGTCAGACGAGCCGTTTTCGAGTAATTGAGCTTAATAAATCGATGTGTTTTTTCGATTTGCCCTTTTTACTTTGAAATTTTGTAACTAATGAATCAATGAATATTTAAAAAAGTTCACGTCGGATTCTTAAAGAAAATTTAATGTTCAGATTCTGTGTGTTTACTGAGATATTTTAAAGTTTCAAGTTAATTCCACAAATCAAATGACCTACGTTATTATTTTATTTAAATATTTTTATCGACACTACTACGCTGTTTATCCGATAAACAATCGCCCATAAAAGCGATAAAAACACCTGACACGGAAAAACAAAACAAAATACGAATCGTTTTCTTTATATGTAGCATATCGGCAGTGGACTTGGACATGGAGTACCCGATGCGGGACTACTTCCAGACGGACACGGCCATCTCTTCGAAGCTGAACGGCAGCCTGCGGCCGGAGGAGCGCGTGCTCGAGCCGTGGGACCCGACGGGAGTGAACGGGGCCGACATGCCGCTGGAGCTGGAGGCGGCGAACGGTTGGGACGCCTCCGAGATGTTCAAGAAGAACGAGCAGGAGTACGGGGTGCAGAGCACCTTCGACCACAGCCTGAGAGGTGAGAGGTTTTAAGGGGCATAAAAGCATGTTTTCTTTATTTTTTATTCTTATTTAAAAAAAAAAATTTAGAAGTCATGTAAATTTGAAATTAAAAAAAAATATATTTAATAATTTGGAATTATTGAAATTTGTAAGTTCAGAGGTTTCTTGAATTTTTGAAAATAGACCCACAGGCAAAATAATCGATCCACACAAATTTTCGATGAATTTCAATCGCAAATAACTTTTTTATTTGATGTCGGATTTAAACGAATATTAAAGAATATTGTAGATAAATTAATGGACAATCGCTCACATTTTAAAAATTACAAAAAAATACACGTAGGTTTATAATATACAGGTTTAAACAAAAAGATGTTTTTTACCATAAGTTTAAGATACTCTGTAGAGTGGCAAAACCGTATATTGTTCTTTTAATTATTAAGTCACATCTATTCTTAACAGTTTTGTTTTTGGTTCACCTCGATGTATTTATTTTTGTGGAAAATATGGTATTTTTAAAAAAACATTGCAATTTCCAATATTTTTCTGTATGAAGAACTAAGGTTGCTATGGTCCATCCATAGCCTATGGAGAATGACAGTGACAGTTTTGTTGAATCATACCATACTTGGACATGTCATACACGGCTTTCAAAAGCTATCAAATTGTTTTTTGCAAATTAATGTTTAAATTTTGAGGTGTCTTCTTACTTTAAAAAATGGATATGTCTCCGACTGATGTTGCCAGAGCCATTAAATTAATCCAGGATGGACGGTCACAGTATTACTTGGCAAGTGTTTTAAACGTCACAAGAAGTAAAGTACAAAGGGCAACATCAGTCGGAGACATTTTTAAAAGTAAGAAGACACCTCAAAATTAACACATTAATTTACAAAAAACAATTTGATATCTTTTGAAAGCTGTATATGACATGTCCAAGTATGGGATGATTCAACAAAACTGTCACTGTCATCCTTCATAGGCTATGGATGGACCATAGCAACCTTAGTTCCTCATACAGAAAAAATATTGGAAATTGCAATGCTTTTTTAAAAAAATCCATATTTTCTACAAAAATAAATATATCAAGGTGAACCAAAAACAAAACTGTTAAAAATAGATCTGACTTGATAATTAAAACTTTATTTAGAACAATATATGGTTTTGCCACTCTACAGAGTGTCTTAAACTTATGGTAAAAAACATATTTTTGTTTAAACCTGGATATTATAAACGTACGTGTATTTTTTAGTAATTTTTAAAATGTGAGCGATTCTCCATTAATGTATCTACAATATTCTTTAATATTTGTTTAAATCCGAAATCAAATAAAAAAGTTATTTGCCATTGAAATTCATCGAAAATTTGTGTGGATCGATTTTTTTGCCTGTGAGTGTATTAAGAATTTTAAAATTTTATGAAATTTTTAAATTACGAAAATTTAAAGATTTTTTTATATTTTTAAAATTTTTGAAATATTGTAATTTTAAAAATGTCTTGTAAATCTTAACAATTTATTAAAATTTGGAAAAGTTTTGTATTTTATAAATATTTAAGGAATTTTTAAAATTTTTGGAAATCTTAAATATTCTTGAAATTTTGGAATTCTTGAAATTTCATAAATTTAGAAAGCTCTTAAATTTTTTAAATCTTTATGATTTTAAAAAAATTGAAATTTTTTATATTTTATAAAAATTATAAGAATATTTGAAATTTTTAAAATGTTGGAATTCTTTGAAAATTTAAAAAATCTTTTAAATTGTGAAACTTTTTAAATTTTTGTATTTACGCCATTTCAAGCGCGCGAAACGCACGAATTACTGTTTTTATTGTGTAAATGTAGATAATTTATTATATAATATTTTGGCGTCAAAATATTTGATTAGGTTATACCTAAATTAAATTAAAAATAAAACGCAAGAAATATTTTATAAAATAAGAGATAATTTTATTAATTGAAAGGTGTGGACGGGACAAAAAAGATTTATCTTGTCCCATCCACACCTGTCAATTATTAAAATTATCTCTACTTTTTATAAAAGATTTCTTGCTTTTTTTATTTAATGTATAGCCTAATAAAAGAAGAATATATTTGACAATTTTGATGCAAAAATAATATACATAATAAATTACCTACCTACATTTTTTTTATAAAAACGGTTTTGTGATTTTTTTCTTGAAAAGTGTGATTCTTAAAATTTTGTAAATTTATACATTTCTAAAATTTTGGAAATATTAAGAATTTATATTTTTTTGAATTTATATTTTGAGGAAATTTTAAGAATTTTTGAAATGTAATTTTTGAAATTTTGTAAATTTATAAAGTTGTTAATTTTTTGAAAATCCAAAAAAATTATTTTTATAATATGAAAATTTAAAAATTCTTGAAATTTTCTTAATTTAGAAATTTCTTAAATTTTTGTAAATAAGAATTTTAAATTTTTTTGAAATTCTTTGTTTTATGAAAATTTTAGGAATTTTTTATATATTTAAATGTTTTGAAAATCTGAAGAATTCCGAGAGAATTCTTAAAACTTAAACTTAAAATTTAGAAATTTCTTTAATTTTTGGAAAGGTTAAGGATTTTAAAATTTGTTATATTTTATGAAAATTTTAGGAATTTTTGGATCTTTTAGAATGTTGAAATTCTTGAAATTTGGTAAATTAAAAAAATTCTTAAATTTTTCTAAATCTTAAGAATTTTTGTGAATTTAGAAATGTCTTAAATTTTTGTAAATCTTAAGAATTATAGAAAATTTTGGAATTCTTGAAATTTTTTTTTTTAATTTTTGGAAATTTTAAATATTCTTGAAATTTAGAGATTTCTAAAACTTTCGAAAATCTTAAGAATTTAAAAAAAAGTTGAAATTTCTTATATTTTAGAGAAATTTTAAGATTTTTTGAAAATTTTAAAATGTTTGAATTTTTGAAGTTTTGAAAATTTTAAAATTTTGAAAATATTACGAATTTTGTAAATAATATAGTTTTTTCCTTTAAATATCATGTTTTTAACAGATTAAATCGTTTTTTAGCCAAAAGTGCTGTAACACGAATAATAACATTTTGTAGCTAGATTAAGAATGTATATAATTTTTTATTATAACTAAAACTCAGGTAATTTACCAATGATCGATCCTCAGTTAAAAAGTAAAAACTCTGCAACCTAGTTCTTGCTTCTGCCGCAGGTTACACGGTGGCGCTGCAATCTTCAGATTCGGCCGATTATCGGGAAGCCGAAGCGAAAGCCAATCAGATCGCGAGCGAGATCGAGAACCAGCCGGCGCACAAGGCGCGCGCCGAGCTTGAAAACGGCGACGAGGAGGCCATGTTCGCCGCCGTCTCCCGCCCCCAGCAACAGCAGGTATTTATCAAAAATTTTTCGCAATTTTATTCTTTTCATCGAAAAGTTCATTCGGTCGTATCTTGAAAACAACTTACGTGTTTCAAAATTACAAAACAATTTAACCGTTTAATGGTTAAATTATGACCAAAATGAAATAATAGCTTTCAAAATTTTTTCATATACACTCACAGGCAAAATAATCGATCCACACAAATTTTCGATGAATTTCAATCGCAAATAACTTTTTTATTTGATTTCGGATCTAAACAAATATTAAAGAATATTGTAGATACATTAATGGAGAATCGCTCACATTTTAAAAATTACTAAAAAATACACGCACGTTTATAATATACAGGTTTAAACAAAAAGATGTTTTTTACCTTAAGTTTAAGACACTCTGTATAGTGGCAAAACCGTATATTGTTCTAAATTAAGTTTTAATTATCAAGTCACATCTATTTTTAACAGTTTTGTTTTTGGTTCACCTTGATATATTTATTTTTGTGGAAAATATGAACTTTTTTTAAAAAATATTGCAATTTCCAATATTTTTCCTAAGGTTGCTATGGTCCATCCATAGCCTATGGAGGATGACAGTGACAGTTTTGTTGAATCATCCCATACTAAGACATGTCATATACAGCTTTCAAAAGGTACCAAATTGTTTTTTGTAAATTAATGTCTTAATTTTGAGGTGTCTTCTTACTTTTAAAAATGTCTCCGACTGATGTTGCCCTTTGTACTTTACTTCTTGTGACGTTTAAAACACTTGCCACTTAATACTGTGACCGTCCATCCTGGATTAAATAAATGGCTCTGGCAACATCAGTCGGAGACATATCCATTTTTTAAAGTAAGAAGACACCTCAAAATTTAAACATTAATTTGCAAAAAACAATTTGATAGCTTTTAAAAGCCGTGTATGACATGTCCGAGTATGGGATGATTCAACAAAACTGTCATTGTTATCCTCCATAGGCTATGGATGGACCATAGCAACCTTAGTTCTTCATACAGAAAAATATTGGAAATTGCGATGTTTTTTTTAAAAATCCATATATTCCACAAAAATAAATATATCGAGGTGAACCAAAAACAAAACTGTTAAGAATAGATGTGACTTGATGAATAAAACTTAATTTAGAACAATATACGGTTTTGCCACTCTACAGAGTGTCTTAAACTTATGATAAAAAAAATCTTTTTGTTTAAACCTGTATATTATACGTACGTGTATTTTGTAGTAATTTTTAAAATGTGAGCGATTCTCCATTAATGTATCTACAATATTCTTTAATATTTGTTTAAATCCGAAATCAAATAAAAAAGTTATCTGCGATTGAAATTATTTTGCCGGTGAGTGTATTTTATGAAAAAATAAAAAAACTTATTTCTTCTAACATTAGCAGCAGGATGTAGCCTCTTCGAACGGCAAATACGTGCCGCCGGCAAAGAGGAAGAACCAAAGCAGCGGCAAGCTGGTGCGGAGCACGCCGCCCCCTAGCCAGGGCCCCGCCCCCAGCCCCAAGGGACAGCCGCCCGCGCAGTACCCTCCGCCCCCGGCGCATCAGATGACTGCGCCGCCGCCGGCGGTGGTGCATCAGAACAACACTCACCCCATGGCAGGTAAGAAAAAAATTAAATGTTCGAGATTTAAAAGTTTTTTGGAAAACCCGTTTTTTCAAAAAAAAAACGGAAAAAGTTGTAAAATGTCTGAAATTTTCCAAATTTTTACGGATACTATCCGTACACTGATATCATGATAAATATAATCCTAAGATTATGATTCTAATAATTATTCCTTTTATTTTAATTCAATAAGAATATTTTACCGAAATTTCCTGTAGACAAAAAAAATTATGGTGAAAGTTTGAGTCCATAATATTAATATTAAGAGGTCTATCATCGCAATTTTTTTTTCCTGAGCGAGTTTTTGTCTCAGAACCCCCACTTATGAATATTTTTTGAAGAAAATTGAATGCTCTAAAAAAAAGGTTTGATTGGAATTTTCCGTCAGATAAACCCTTTTCTTACAATCATGCCTTAAAAATTGTTAACAACAATTTAATCTTTTAACTTTGGAATTTTGTAATTCAAGTGAAAATCAGTACCCTGAAAAAAAAACGATAAATATTCTTATGGGAAATCAAATGCTCTACAAAAAAAGTCTTTTATCATTTTTGGCTAAATTCACCCCATCAAAAGCTATTCAAGGTTAAATTTGAAGTCAAAACGAAATTTTAACCTTGAATAACTTTTGATTGAGTGAATTTAGCCAAAAATGTTAAGAGGCTTTTTTTGTAAAGAATTTGATTTCCCATAAGAATATATATCGGTTTTTTTATGGGTACTGATTTTTACAGGAATTACAAAATTCCACTTTAAAAGATCAAAATGTAAAACTATACCAATTTTTAAGACATGATTTTAAGTTCATCTGACGGAAAATTTCACTTTAACCTTTTTTGTAGAGCATTTAATTAATAAAAGAGTCAATTTTGTTAAACTCAATGGTTTGGGAGTTCTGAGCCTAAAACTTGCTGAGGAAAAAAAATTAAAATTGCGATGATAGACCTCTTAATAAAAATATTATGGACTCAAACTTTCACAATTATTTTTTTTGTCGCTATACTTTTAAAAAAAAATAGTTGATTTTTTTGGCCCAGTCTACTAAACACGAATTATTGCAAAACTACCAATAGGTCTACTTACTTTTTTTTAATTCTGCAAACCAGTTAATAACAGCTAAATTTTTAATATTTTTCGATTGTGTAGAGGCGGAACAGGAATTATTGCAAAATTACCTATAACCCTAGTAGCAATTTTGGAAAAGCCTTGTCCAAGCATGGGTCAAGATACTTGGAACAGATTGTTGATCAAGAATTGTACAAGAATTGGTCCAGATTATTGATAAAGATCATTGGGCAAGACTTGGGCCAGACTGTGGCCAGAATTTGTCAAGAATTTGACCAGAAGTCTGAGGCCATCTGTTACTAAACTTAGGGACTATTCTATAGAGTAGAGGTTCTCATTTTACAGTAGTTTCATTCACAATTTACAATTGTCATCTTTTCAGTTTCTCGCGTAAGTCTATCTCAAGACTCTGGTCAAATTCTGGTCAAAGACTGGCCCAAGTCTGGAGCCAGTCTGGATAAAGAATCTTGGTCAAGTGTCTTGATCAAGAATTGTCAAATTGTGTATAAAGTGCTTCTCCAAGTATCTTGCTGGAGAATCTTGTCCCATTCCATTGCTACTAGGGAAGTATGCTTACAAAAATTATTTGTTTTTTTTTAATTCTGCAAGCTAGTAAGCAGCTAAATTTTAAATTTTTTTTCGATTGTGTAAAGGCGAGTTTTCCTGTAGAACAATTTAATAAAATTGTATACAGTATAGACAGATATTTATAGAACAATATTTAACGTTGTAACAGCTGCTCACGGCCAGCACCTGCCTCACGCAGCGGTGCCGCCCCCTCAGATGGGCATCCCGCCGCCGCAGCAGCAACCGCCCCTGCAGCAGCAGCCGCCGCCGCCGCACCCCGTGGCGAACCACCACGGAGGCGGGCGGCCGCACTCGCACACGCCGCCCCACCACCACCAGCAGCAGCAGCAGTACCAGCAAGGTCCGCCGCCGATGGCGGGCGGCCGCGTCGCCCAGCCGCCGCCCCCGCCTCACGGCGCGCCCAGCCCCAAGCCCGCGCAGATGAACGGCGAGGCCAAATCGATGCCGCCGCCGCCTCAGCAGCAGCAGCAGCACAGGCAGAGGAACGTCTACGGCGGCGGCGGGCAGCAGCAAGGCGGCGGCGGCTATCAGCAGCCGCCGCCCGATATGCACGTGGTCAAGGATTTGCATCAGTTCGCGCAGGATTTCAAGCTGCAAGAGAATGGACAGATGCCGCCGCCGAATGTTGACCAGGTAAATTATTAACATTTTTTGAACATTTTTTTATCGTTTTCTACTCGTCAAATCCTTTCATATGGTTAGGGTTGGGACAGTTGAAATTTTCAAATGAAAATTTCAACTTTGAAAGTTTCAAACTTGAAATATTTCATTTAGTTGCAAAAGTGAAATTTTTAAAAGTTTCAAATGAAATTTTCAAAACGAAAATTTCAACATTGCCTGTGAAACTCGCAATTTACTGAAAATTTCGCATAAATTTCACATGCGGCCTCCCCTGGGACCTTTAATAATAATTTACAACAGATTCCGAATCGACCAATAAGAACGAGTTATCAAGCGTCTGGGCGTTTTTGTTTAGTTCGGCTTGGATTTGAATACACTATAAGTAATTATTGTTACTTATATGCATAAATTAATTTAATTCAGTTACCAATTTAATTTGTAAATTAAATCAGAATTTAAAATTTGTTTAAAAGTCATGAACTTTTACTTTTGCTATAATTGCATCGGAAAACGGATAAAAAATGCCTTTAGCTCATAAAATTTTGATGAAGTTTCTTCAATTTTCATAAAATATATAAATATAATACAATGAAAGTGGCACAATCTCATTAGCTTACCAAAAAGTGCTATATCTCTTTTAGTTTTAGTAATTTTAAAAGGAAATCTCAAGAAATTTGTGGTAAATATAGGTATTTACTATTTATATTATTGCTGCACTGGCCCACAGAGGGGTAGGAGGTAAGAGAGGCAATTTGCCATGGTCCCCGAGTGGGCTTATTTCAATATTAATATATTACACTTAAAGTGATTGAAATTTATTGAAAGTTTCAATAAATTTCATAAATTTCATGAAATTTCAGAAATTTAGGAAATTTTAATAAATTTCATTAATGTCATGAAAATTTCAAGTACAAGCAAAAAGTGAAATTTTCCCAACCCTATACCCATGTCAAGTTTTGAAAAAATTCAATGTTTCTATCTCTCTCTCTTACTAACAGAAAGTTTGGGAAAAATAAAATTGCGGATAAGTAATAGTTATTTATGTCATTAGGTTAAGAAGTAGCGAAGCACAAAAAGGCACTTCTTGGCCGAATGGCATACAACATTTTATCTTCAAAGCACTTTATATAGGTCAATTTAATTCAACATCAAAGCGGCCTAACCTCACTTTTTTAGAATCTCATTTATTTATTAGCTAAAGATTACATTAAATGTACAATCATTATTATTGCTTTTAGAAGCAGTAATAGTTTGACAATACCTAGCTACATGATTTAAGTAGAAATGGATTTTTGCTATTACATTGAATTCAATTAATTGTTTAATAAATAGGTAGGTATCTAATTTCAATTTGTTTGGATTTTTATTTAAAAAATAGGTAGTTTGGAATGTTTAAGCTGTGTTTAACATTTAATTTCACTGAAAACTTAAAGCAAATTAAAACTTAAAGATAATTTAAATCGTAGAAAAAGAATCGTGTGTTTTCTTGGTTGCCTAACCTCACTTTTTGTTTTATTATTCATATTTAATTTTACAATAACTTAATGAAAAATATTGAACATTAACAGTAAAACAAACAAATTAGTGCTTATTATAAATAAATTAAACCAGTTTAGTACGTTAATTTCTTAGAAAAGGATTAATTTGTCGAAACAATACCCCTAGCGAGAAAAAATCGAACCAACTACTTGCCTCATAAAAATTTTTATCGGCTTAGGCCATAACAAGGTATTTCTTTATCGAATGTTGACAACAATAAAGTTTAAGTGGAGATAAAAAATATTATTGTTTTTTTTACGTAGCCTCCGCCACAAATGATGCAACCGCCTCCAACCCAACAGCACCCACAGCAACAACAACAGCAACAAAACTCCCCGCCCCAGCAACAACAACCGCAACAGTCGGTCTCGCCCCAACAGCAGCAGCAACAACAGGACATTGAAAAGGTAAATAAAATGAAATTTTTTTTATTGGATTTTATTAAACTTATAATACGTAATTTTCTGAAAATGGCATATTTTTTGTTATAATAATTTTTAGGTTTTTATAAAAATAGGTAAAATATTGCAATTCATCTAAAATCGGGTATTTTCAATCTGAAATATCTCAGGAGGTACACACTTTAAAAATCCAAAATTTTCAGAAAGCATTTTTTTATTGTGTTGTAATAAGTGATTAAAATTTTATCACTGATACTTTATTAGTTTTTTAGTTAGACATTTTTAAAAATAGCTAAAATATTGCGATTCAACTAAAATCGGGTATTTTCAATCTGAAATATCTCGGGAGAATGTGTACATTAAAAATTCAAAATTTTCCGAAAACATTTTTTTATTTTGTTGTAATAAATGGTTAAAATTTCATCACTGAGACTGTATTATTAGTTTTTTAGTTAAAATATTACAATTCGTCTAAAATCGGGTATTTTCAATCTGAAATATCTCAGGAGGTAAACACTTTAAAAATCTAAAATTGTAAGAAAACATAATTTTATTGCGCAAATTTCACAAATTTTCAGTAAACATTATTTTATAGTGTTGTAATAAGTGGTTAAAATGAGACTGAGACTTTATTACTCCAATTACACCAATCTGAAATATCTCAGGAGGTATACACTGTAAAATTTCAAACTTTTCAGAAAACATTATTTTGTTCTGTTGTAATAAGTGGTTAAAGTTTCATTACTTTCAAACTTGAAAAATCTAAAATTTTCAGAAAACATTATTTTGTTGTGTTGTAATAAGTTGTTAAAATTTTATCACTAAGACTTAATAAATACATTTTTAATTATACATTAAATTAGGAAGCGCTATTAAGTACATTGTCTGTGGTATAAATATAAAAACTACATACAAACATAGTATCACTGATAAAATAAGTGGTAAAAATTTTATCACAGAATTTTGGTTTTGACATTTTTTAAACAGCTTAAATATTGCGATTCGTCTAAAATCGGGTATTTTTTATCTGAAATATCTAAGCCAAAATTTGTATCAAACATTATTTTATTGTGTTGACTTAATAAATAATTTTTTTAGTTAGACATTTTTAAAAATAGCTTAAATTTCAGGAAGCACTATTAAATGTATTGCATTGTCTGTGGTATAAATGTAAAAACTACATACAAACTTATAGTATCACTAATAAAATAAGTGGTAAAAATTTCATCACAGACTTTATAGGTTTTTTAGTTTTGACATTTTTAAAAATAGCTTAAATATTAATTTGTCTAAAATCGAGTATTTTTAATCTGAAAATTTTCAGAAAACATTATTTTATTGTGTTGTATTAAGTTGTTAAAATTTTATCAATAAGACTTAATAAATACATTTTTTAGTTAGAAATTTTTAAAAATGGCTAAATTTTCAGGAAGAACTATAAAGTTTGCCTGTGGTATAAATGTAAAAACTACATACAAACTTATAGTATCACTGATAAAATTAGTGGTCAAAATTTCATCACAGACTTTGTAGGTTTTTTAGTTTTGACATTTTTTAAAATAGCTTAAATATTGCGATTCGTCTAAAATCGGGTATTTTTAATCTGAAATATCTCAGAAGGGACACTCTTTTCAAATACAAAATTTTCAGAAAACATTCCTTTATTTTGTTGTAATAAGTTGTTAAAATTTAATAACTTAATAAATATATTTTTTAAAATAGCTTACATTTCAGGAAGCACTATTAAGTCTATTACATTGCCTGTGGTATAAATATAAAAAATACTTACAAACTTATAGTATCACTTATAAAATAAGTAGTACAAATTTCATCAAAGACAAAGGTTTTTTAGTTGTGACATTTTTAAAAATTGCTTAATTATGGCGATTCGTCTAAAATCGGATATTTTTAATCTGAAATACCTCAGAAGGAACACACTTTTCAAATCCAAAATTTTCAGAAAAAATCTTTTATTGTGTTGTAATAAGTTGTTAAAATTTCATCACTAAGACTTAATAAATACATTTTTTAGTTAGACATTTTTAAAAATGGCTAAAATCGGGTATTTCCAATCTAAAGTACCTTAGGAGGTTTACACTGTAAAATTCCAAAATTTTCAGAAAACATTATTTTGTGGTGTTGTAATAAGTGGTTAAAATTTCATCACTGAGACTTAATTAGTTTTTTAGCTAGACATTCTTTATTCCAACTTATTACAAAACAAAATAATGCTTTTAAAAAATGTTGTATTTAAAAAGTTTCTCCCTAAAAATACCCGATTTTAAAGACTATTTAATTTCAATGGTATCATAACATGTGTTTTATCGTCGTAAAAAACGTTTTTACTTTTTATCCACAAAATTATTTTTGTAGTTTGAAACTGCATTTTTTTAAAAGATACGTCTATAAGAAAATGAAAAAATTAAATTTATTTGAACCTCGGCAAATTTGTTGAGAATTGGCAAAAATTGCAAAATATGCAAAAAAAATTGTAAAAAATTTAATTTTCATAAAATCCCGCAAAAGTCAAAATTGTGACGTTATACGAAATTAGCCAGATAATTGGTTGGTTAGTTTACAAACTAGCTAAAGCTTGGCTATTTTGTGTTACTAGAAATTTTGGTTTTTATATTAGCCAAATTGAATTGGATAGTATACAAACTATCCAGCTATTTTAGTTTTCCTAATAATTTCAAGTAAATTAGCCAAGATCATTGGTTATTTTGTAAACTAACAGTTTGGATAGTTTATAAACTATCCAGCTAGTTTATAAACTATCCAAGTTTGCACATTAGCCGTAACATATACATTAGGGTGATTCATTTCAGCAAAGTTTTTGTTTTCTTCGGTGCTCAAGCAAAATATTAATCTGCATATAGAAAAAAAAATTCTCAACAAGTTTGAGCGTGGATTTTGCAATTTTTCAACATTTCTGTCATATAGCAAAAAAATATAAATGAAGATTATTTAATTTTTTGAAGCGAAATTTGAAATATGTTACATAACCTTCTGTATATTCCTATTAAAGTTTTGTTGTTTTTTTATGAATTTATGTGTTGTTTTCATATTCATTATGAGTGAGAAATCATAATAATTTTAAAAAAGTTCTTAGTGTAGGGAAATATAATGATAATAAATAGAAAAAATCAATCTAAATAACATTATGGGTTGGTATTTATCAATTTCTTACGTTTTCAGTTATAAAAATGGCAGTAAATTCATTAAATATTGGTTGGATAACTTTTTTTTTTATGAATCAGCCCATTTTTCTCCCTACTTTTGTCGATTTGCTCGAAAAAAATAAAAAAACGATTTTTTTCAAAAACTGTCCTTTGACGACTCCTACTGGTGAACCAATGCGAGTTACAAAAAAAAAAACTCAAAAGCAATTTTAAATAGCGTGAAATTCCCCATAAGGTGTATTAAACCGATTTGCAATATTGTCAAAGGTGAGTAAGCATTAGAAATTTGAAAAAATATATATATATTTTACATGCATTTTAAACGGTAAAACTTTAAATTTAAATAGTAAGTGCTTAAAATTAATATTAAGAGCTCAAACTTGGCGAGAATGTTTTTTCCTATATGCAGATTAATATTTTGCTTGAGCACCGGAAAAAAAGAAAAACTTTGCGGAAATGAATCACCCTAATATACATTTAAAAATACATCGTTTTTACTTGCGTGTCTAACGTCGCTTCGCTCGACTCTTCAGGTGACGAGCACGCTGAAAAAATCCAAGCTGAACCCGAACGCTAAGGAGTTCAGCCCGACGGCCAAGCCGTTCCAGCCGCGGTCGCCCAGCACGCCGTCCGCCAGCCGCCCGCACACGCCGCAGACGCCCGGCGCCCACCAGGGCGGCTACGTGACGCAAGGGCAGGCGGCTGCGGCTGCCGCAGCGGCCGCCGCCGCCGCGCACCAGCAGCAGCAACAGGGCATGCCCACGGCGGTCATGATGCCGATGCAGTACGTGATGGCCGGGCATCCGCCCTACCAGCCCCAGCCGCAGGGCGGCAGGCTGAAGAGATGTGAGTATCCCAGATATGTTAATGGTAATTTCTTTTTTTTTATATATACTAAATTTTTAAGGGGTTGTAATAGGCTGTTCATTCAATCATTTCATTTTGTTCATTAAACAAATTGTATTATTTTGACTGAGCAATTTATTACAAAAATATTATCCTACAAATAAAAAATGACGAACTTTTTTTATGGAATGACATTAAAAATGTTTTTTAAATGTTAATAAAACGACACTTTTCTGTCAATTTACTTCATTGCCATTGCAGTAAATTACTTTTTCAACAACATTTTGACTGAGCAATTTATTGAACAAATATTATCCTACAAATAAAAAACTTTTTTTATAAAATGACTTTAAATATTAGTAAAATGACACTTTTCTCTCAATTTACTTCATTGCCATGGCAGTAGATTACTTTTTCAACAACATTTTGACTGACCAATTTATTGAAAAAATATTATCCTACAAATAAAAAATGACGAACTTTTTTTATGGAATGACATTAATAATGTTTTTTAAATGTTAATAAAAAGACACTTTTCTGTCAATTTACTTCATTGCCATTGCAGTAAATTACTTTTTCAAGAACATTTTGAATGAGCAATTTATTGAAAAAATATTATCCTACAAATAAAAAATGACGAACTTTTTTTATGAAATCACATTCAAAATGTTTTTTAAATGTTAATAAAACGACACTTTTCTGTCAATTTACTTCATTGCCATTGCAGTAAATTACTTTTTCAACAACATTTTGAATGAGCAATTTATTGAAAAAATATTGTCCTACAAATAAAAAATGACGAACTTTTTTTATGGAATGACATTAAATTTGTTTTTTAAATGTTAATAAAACGACACTTTTCTGTCAATTTACTTTATTGCCATTGCAGTAAATTACTTTTTCAACAACATTTTGACTGAGCAATTTATTGAAAAAATATTATCCTACAAATAAAAAATGACGAACTTTTTTTTTGGAATGACATTAAAAATGTTTTTTAAATGTTAATAAAACGACACTTTTCTGTCAATTTACTTCATTTCCACGGCAGTAAATTACTTTTTCAACAACATTTTGACTGAGCAATTTATTGAATAAATATTTTCCTACAAATAAAAAATGACGAACTTTTTTTATCGAATGACATTAAAAATGTTTTTTAAATGTTAATAAAACGACACATTTCTGTCAATTTACTTCATTGCCATTGCAGTAAATTACTTTTTCAACAACATTTTGAATGAGCAATTTATTGAAAAAATATTATCCTACAAATAAAAAATGACGAACTTTTTTATAAAATGACTTAAAATTTTTTTAACACGACACTTTTCTGTCAATTTACTTCATTGCCATGGCAGTAAATTACTTTTTCAACAACATTTTGACTGAGCAATTTATTGAAAAAATATTATCCTACAAATAAATAATGACGAACTTTTTTATGGAATGACATTAAAAATGTTTTTTAAATGTTAATAAAACGACACTTTTCTGTCAATTTACTTCATTGCCATTGCAGTAAATTACTTTTTCAACAACATTTTGACTGAGCAATTTATTGAAAAAATATTATCCTACAAATAAAAAATTACAAACTTTTTTCATAGAATGACTTTATATATATTTTTTTAAATGTTAGTAAAATGACACTTTTCTGTCAATTTACTTCATTGTCATTGCAGTAAATTACTTTTTCAACAACATTTTGACTGAGCAATTTATTAAAAAATATATTATCCTACAAATAAATAATGACGATTTTTTTATTTGTAGAATGACTTAAAATATTTTTTTTAAATGTTAATAAAATGACACTTTTCTGTCAACTTACTTCATTGCCATTGCAGTAAATTACTTTTTCAACAACATTTTGACTGAGCAATTTATTGAAAAAATATTATCCTACAAATAAAAAATGACGAACTTTTTTTATGGAATGACATTAATAATGTTTTTTAAATGTTAATAAAAAGACACTTTTCTGTCAATTTACTTCATTGCCATTGCAGTAAATTACTTTTTCAAGAACATTTTGAATGAGCAATTTATTGAAAAAATATTATCCTACAAATAAAAAATGACGAACTTTTTTTATGGAATGACATTAATAATGTTTTTTAAATGTTAATAAAAAGACACTTTTCTGTCAATTTACTTCATTGCCATTGCAGTAAATTACTTTTTCAAGAACATTTTGAATGAGCAATTTATTGAAAAAATATTATCCTACAAATAAAAAATGACGAACTTTTTTTATGGAATGACATTAATAATGTTTTTTAAATGTTAATAAAAAGACACTTTTCTGTCAATTTACTTCATTGCCATTGCAGTAAATTACTTTTTCAAGAACATTTTGAATGAGCAATTTATTGAAAAAATATTATCCTACAAATAAATAATGACGAACTTTTTTATGGAATGACATTAAAAATGTTTTTTAAATGTTAATAAAACGACACTTTTCTGTCAATTTACTTCATTGCCATTGCAGTAAATTACTTTTTCAACAACATTTTGACTGAGCAATTTATTAAAAAATATATTATCCTACAAATAAATAATGACGATTTTTTTATTTGTAGAATGACTTAAAATATTTTTTTAAATGTTAATAAAATGACACTTTTCTGTCAACTTACTTCATTGCCATTGCAGTAAATTACTTTTTCAACAACATTTTGACTGAGCAATTTATTGAAAAAATATTATCCTACAAATAAAAAATGACGAACTTTTTTTATGGAATGACATTAATAATGTTTTTTAAATGTTAATAAAAAGACACTTTTCTGTCAATTTACTTCATTGCCATTGCAGTAAATTACTTTTTCAACAACATTTTGACTGAGCAATTTATTGAAAAAATATTATCCTACAAATAAAAAATGACGAACTTTTTTAATAAAATAATGTTAAATATTTTTTTTAAATGTTAATAAAACGACACTTTTCTGTCAATTTACTTCATTGCCATTGCAGTAAATTACTTTTTCAACAACATTTTGACTGAGCAATTTATTGAAAAAATATTGTCCTACAAATAACAAATGACGAACTTTTTTTATGGAATGACATTAAAAATGTTTTTTAAATGTTAATAAAACGACACTTTTCTGTCAATTTACTTCATTGCCATTGCAGTAAATTACTTTTTCAACAACATTTTGACTGAGCAATTTATTGAAAAAATATTATCCCACAAATAAAACGAACTTTTTTATGGAATGACATTAAAAATGTTTTTTAAATGTTAATAAACTGAAACTTTTCTGTCAATTTACTTCATTGCCATTGCAGTAAATTACTTTTTCAACAACATTTTGACTGAGCAATTTATCGAAAAAATATTATTCTACAAATAAAAAATGACGAACTTTTTTATGGAATGACATGAAAATGTTTTTTAAATGTTAATAAAACGACACTTTTCTGTCAATTTACTTCATTGCCATTGCAGTTAATTACTTTTTCAACAACATTTTGAAAAAATGACGAACTTTTTTTATAGAATGACTTTAAATATGTTTTTTAAATGTTAATAAAACGACACTTTTCTGTCAATTTACTTCATTGCCATTGCAGTAAATTACTTTATCTTTGTAAATTTCTGTTAAAACATCATCAAAGTGCTAAACTTTAATCTTCCAACTATTATCTTATATCGTCGAAATATTGCAACAACAAAAAAATGACGACTTTTGCAAATCTCAAATCTTCATTTCGACTTTCAGTGCCGATGAGGACGGACGTGTCGCAGATGCAGGTGGCGGCGGCCACCGGACAGCCCCTTTTGGCGCCCGCCCCCCTCCAGCAGTTCATCTATCCGGGCCCGAACATGGGCCAGGCCTACCAACCGATGCACGCCGCCGCCGTGCGCATGTACGACGCCACTGCCGCCCCCCCGCAACTCCAGTACATGCCGCAGCAGCCGGCGCAGGCCCCGTCGCCCGCCCAACCGCCCCCGCAATACAACCCCGCAGGTAAGTCTGCTTTACACATGACAAAAATATTTTGTTTTTAGTTTTTATCGAATATCTCGGCCCCTGTATATTGCACGATAAAAAGTAAAAGAGCAAAATTATTTTTCATGAAATTTCCAACAATTTTTGTCTGAAGTATTTTTTTGGTTAAACAAATATACTTAGTTAAAATGGAAGTGTAAATTACGCATAAATAGTAGGTGCATTTGAACTACTGCAGTTGCCATTTCCTGCCGCATTCCCAAGGCGACAAATTAATTTTATGTGTACAGATAAAAAGCTAAAAACATATATTTTTGCGTATATCTTTTCTAAATGTTCTAAAATCTAAAATACAATCATTTTTTCAGTTGTTTGTCAAAAAATACGAATCTTACTCAAGAGTAAAGTACTTTTATGTTTGACAATATCGAAAATTCTTTAATTTAATTTTAAAAAACCTACTTCAATTTTCTTTTACATTTAAAACATTTACGATTAAAAAGTGAAATGGCTTGCCATAGTTTGCGAAATATTTATCAAAAAAGTAAAAAATAACAAAAAAGTTTTTAATTTAACAAACTATATTTTTTTGCTTATTTGTTTATAAAAATAAGTTATTTCTATAAACAAAAAACACTTTGGACAAAAATTGTAGGAAATTTTATGAAAAACAATTTGATGTTTTACTTTTATTATATTTTTGCGTATATCTTTTCTAAATTTTCTAAAATCTAAAATACAATCATTTTTTCAGTTGTTTGTCAAAAAATATGAATCTTACTCAAGAGTAAAGTACTTTTATGTTTGACAATATCGAAAATTCTTTAATTTAATTTTAAAATACCTACTTCAATTTTCTTTTACATTTAAAACATTTACGATTAAAAAGTGAAATGGCTTGCCATAGTTTGCGAAATATTTTCAAAAAAGTAAAAAATAAGTTATTTTTATAAACAAAAAACTTTTATTAGTATTGACTAAAAGCTAAAAACATATATTTTTGCGTATATCTTTTCTAAATATTCTAAAATCTAAAATACAATAATTTTTTCAGTTTTTTGTCAAAAAATATGAATCTTACTCAAGAGTAAAGTACTTTTATGTTCGACAATATCGAAAATACTCTAATTTAATTTTAAAAAACCTACTTCAATTTTCTTTTACATTTAAAACATTTACGATTAAAAAGTGAAATGGCTTGCCATAGTTTGCGAAATATTTTCAAAAAAGTAAAAATAACAAAAAAAAATTAATTTAACAAACTATATTTTTTTACTTATTTGTTTATAAAAATAAGAATTTTATGAAAAATAATTTGATGTTTTACTTTTATTAGTATTGACTAAAAGCTAAAAACATATATTTTTGCGTATATCTTTTCTAAATGTTCTAAAATCTAAAATACAATAATTTTTTCAGTTGTTTGTCAAAAAATATGAATCTTACTCAAGAGTAAAGTACTTTTATGTTTGACAATATCGAAAATTCTTTAATTTAATTTTAAAAAACCTACTTCAATTTTCTTTTACATTTAAAACATTTACGATTAAAAAGTGAAATGGCTTGCCATAGTTTGCGAAATATTTTCAAAAAAGTAAAAAATAAGTTATTTCTATAAACAAAAAACTTTTATTAGTATTGACTAAAAGCTAAAAACATATATTTTTGCGTATATCTTTTCTAAATATTCTAAAATCTAAAATACAATAATTTTTTCAGTTTTTTGTCAAAAAATATGAATCTTACTCAAGAGTAAAGTACTTTTATGTTCGACAATATCGAAAATACTCTAATTTAATTTTAAAAAACCTACTTCAATTTTCTTTTACATTTAAAACATTTACGATTAAAAAGTGAAATGGCTTGCCATAGTTTGCGAAATATTTTCAAAAAAGTAAAAATAACAAAAAAAAATTAATTTAACAAACTATATTTTTTTACTTATTTGTTTATAAAAATAAGAATTTTATGAAAAATAATTTGATGTTTTACTTTTATTAGTATTGACTAAAAGCTAAAACATATATTTTTGCGTATATCTTTTCTAAATGTTCTAAAATCTAAAATACAATAATTTTTTCAGTTGTTTGTCAAAAAATATGAATCTTACTCAAGAGTAAAGTACTTTTATGTTTGACAATATCGAAAATTCTTTAATTTAATTTTAAAAAACCTACTTCAATTTTCTTTTACATTTAAAACATTTACGATTAAAAAGTGAAATGGCTTGCCATAGTTTGCGAAATATTTTCAAAAAAGTAAAAAATAAGTTATTTCTATAAACAAAAAACTTTTATTAGTATTGACTAAAAGCTAAAAACATATATTTTTGCGTATATCTTTTCTAAATATTCTAAAATCTAAAATACAATAATTTTTTCAGTTTTTTGTCAAAAAATATGAATCTTACTCAAGAGTAAAGTACTTTTATGTTCGACAATATCGAAAATACTTTAATTTAATTTTAAAAAACCTACTTCAATTTTCTTTTACATTTAAAACATTTACGATTAAAAAGTGAAATGGCTTGCCATAGTTTGCGAAATATTTTCAAAAAAGTAAAAATAACAAAAAAAAATTAATTTAACAAACTATATTTTTTTACTTATTTGTTTATAAAAATAAGAATTTTATGAAAAATAATTTGATGTTTTACTTTTATTAGTATTGACTAAAAGCTAAAAACATATATTTTTGCGTATATCTTTTCTAAATGTTCTAAAATCTAAAATACAATAATTTTTTCAGTTGTTTGTCAAAAAATATGAATCTTACTCAAGAGTAAAGTACTTTTATGTTTGACAATATCGAAAATTCTTTAATTTAATTTTAAAAAACCTACTTCAATTTTCTTTTACATTTAAAACATTTACGATTAAAAAGTGAAATGGCTTGCCATAGTTTGCGAAATATTTTCAAAAAAGTAAAAAATAAGTTATTTCTATAAACAAAAAACTTTTATTAGTATTGACTAAAAGCTAAAAACATATATTTTTGCGTATATCTTTTCTAAATATTCTAAAATCTAAAATACAATAATTTTTTCAGTTTTTTGTCAAAAAATATGAATCTTACTCAAGAGTAAAGTACTTTTATGTTCGACAATATCGAAAATACTTTAATTTAATTTTAAAAAACCTACTTCAATTTTCTTTTACATTTAAAACATTTACGATTAAAAAGTGAAATGGCTTGCCATAGTTTGCGAAATATTTTCAAAAAAGTAAAAATAACAAAAAAAAATTAATTTAACAAACTATATTTTTTTACTTATTTGTTTATAAAAATAAGAATTTTATGAAAAATAATTTGATGTTTTACTTTTATTAGTATTGACTAAAAGCTAAAAACTTATATTTTTGCGTATATCTTTTCTAACTGTTCTAAAATCTAAAATACAATAATTTTTTCAGTTGTTTGTCAAAAAATATTAATCTTACTCAAGAGTAAAGTACTTTTATGTTTGACAATATCGAAAATTCTTTAATTTAATTTTAAAATACCTACTTCAATTTTCTTTTACATTTAAAACATTCACGATTAAAAAGTGAAATGGCTTGCCATAGTTTGCGAAATATTTTCAAAAAAGTAACAAATAACAAAAAAGTTTTTAATTTAACAAACTATATTTTTTTGCTTATTTGTTTATAAAAATAAGTTATTTCCATAAACAAAAAACACTTTGGACAAAAATTGTAGGAAATTTTATGAAAAACAATTTGATGTTTTACTTTTATTAGTATTGACTAAAAGCTAAAAACATATATTTTTGCTTATATCTTTTCTAAATGTTCTAAAATCTAAGATACAATCATTTTTTAGTTTTTTGTCAAAAAATATGAATCTTACTCAAGAGTAAAGTATTTTTATGTTTGACAATATCGAAAATTCTTTAATTTTATTTTAAAATACCCACTTCAATTTTCTTTTACATTTAAAACGTTTACAATTAAAAAGTGAAATGGCTTGCCATAGTTTGCGAAATATTTTCAAAAAAAGTAACAAATAACAAAAAAGTTTTTAATTTAACAAACTATATTTTTTTGCTTATTTGTTTATAAAAAAAAGTTATTGCTTTAAACAAAAAACACTTTGGACAAAAATTGTAGGAAATTTGATGAAAAATAATTTGAATTTTTACTTTTATTAGTATTAACTAAAAGCTAAAAAACATATATTTTTGCGAATATCTTTTCTAAATGTTCTAAAATCTAAAATACAATCATTTTTTCAGTTGTTTGTCAAAAAATACGAATCTTACTCAAGAGTAAAGTATTTTTATGTTGGACAATATCGAAAATTCTTTAATTTAATTTTAAAAAACCTACTTCAATTTTCTTTGACATTTAAAACATTTACGATTAAAAAGTGAAATGGCTTGCCATAGTTTGCAAAATATTTTCAAAAAAGTAAAAAATAACAAAAAGTTTTTAATTTAACATAGTATATTTTTTTACTTATTTGTTTATAAAAATAAGTTATTTCTATAAACAAAAAACACTTTGGACAAAAATTGTAGGAAATTTTATGAAAAAAAATTTGATGTTTTACTTTTATTAGTATTGACTAAAAGCTAAAAACATATATTTTTGCGTATATCTTTTCTAAATGTTCTAAAATCTAAAATACAATAATTTTTTCAGTTTTTTGTCAAAAAATATGAATCTTACTCAAGAGTAAAGTACTTTTATGTTCGACAATATCGAAAATACTTTAATTTAATTTTAAAAAACCTACTTCAATTTTCTTTGACATTTAAAACATTTACGATTAAAAAGTGAAATGGCTGCCATAGTTTGCGAAATATTTTCAAAAAAGTAACAAATAACAAAAAAGTTTTTAATTTAACAAACTATATTTTTTTGCTTATTTGTTTATAAAAATAAGTTATTTCTATAAACAAAAAACACTTTGGACAAAAATTGTAGAAAATTTTATGAAAAATAATTTAATGTTTTACTTTTATTAGTATTGACTAAAAGCTAAAAACATATATTTTTGCGTATATCTTTTCTAAATGTTCTAAAATCTAAAATACAATCATTTTTTCAGTTGTTTGTCAAAAAATATTAATCTTACTCAAGAGTATAGTACTTTTATGTTTGACAATATCGAAAATTCTTTAATTTAATTTTAAAAATCCTACTTCAATTTTCTTTTACATTTAAAACATTACGATTAAAAAGTGAAATGGCTTGCCATAGTTTGCGAAATATTTTCAAAAAAGTAAAAAATAACAAAAAAGTTTTTAATTTAACAAACTATATTTTTTGCTTATTTGCACAGACCACCAAAACAAATGTACGGATTTGTTTACGTTTTTTTTTATTGACCGCAAACAAAGCATTGTTATTGAATGGCAATGCGCCGTCCATTTGTTTTGTTGGTCTGTGCTTATTTGTTTATAAAAATAAGTTATTTCTATAAACAAAAAACACTTTGGACCAACATTGTATATCTGTGCAAAAAAATTGTTAGGTGTTGCAAATTTGGTTATATGCTTTTTATTTTTAAATAAGCCCCTATTAATTCTTAAATATAAAAGCAAGTACGTTTGAAAGTTTCACGTGATTTATTTTTACATTTTTACAATTGTTTCGCCACCCCAGCGGTGGCGAAACAATTGTCAAAATGTAAAAATAAATCACGTGAAACTTTCAAACGTACTTGCTTTTATATTTACATAATGACACCTTCTTCGTCAGGTCAACAGGGCGGACCGCAGGGCCCGCAGCAGCAGCAGCAGCAGCAGCAGCCGCCGCAGCAGTACCAACCGGCGCAACCGCCGCCTCCGCAGGGCCACCACCAGCTGCCGCACCTGATGTACCCGATCCTGCAGACGCAGCCGCACATGCTGCAGAACATACCCTACTTGCAGCAGCCGCCGCACCACCACCTGCCGGTGGCCCTGCACCAGCTGCATCCGGGCCAGGGGCAGCCGCACGGCCCCAATCCCTAGCGCTAGGCCCCCCGCCCCGCCCGCCCCCCCGCGAGACGCCCAAGTTAGTTAATTTTTCGACGAATATCGGCCGAGCGCGCGAATCTTCTCGCTATCCGAGCAAAAAAAAAAAACGAAAAACGTCAAGTAAGTGCAAATCACGCGCCGTTTACCACGCGAAAGTTTGTTTAGCAGGCGGAGCATCGTTGAAAGAAAAATTGGGGATGATTTTTTAGTTCAAATCGAACATAAAAAATACCTCTTTTTGACTTTTCAAGATTTTTAGTTCCATCTCGTTTCGAGCGTACTAAAAATCACGAAGTTAGGCAACCCACTGCACAGGCCATTTTAATGCTGTTTATACAGATTAAAAATCGTTAAAAACCCTAAAAGAAGCCTTAAAGTGCCAAGGACAAACATTTTAATCCTCTTTCGTAAAAAATAAACCCTATTCTATCAAACTGTCATCAAACTGTCAAATGTCAACTTGGTTATGTAAAATTAACCTTAAAATTGACATTTGGCATTTTGATGACAGTTTTATAGAATAGGGTTTATTTTTTACAAAAGAGGGTTAAAAAAGTTGCGTCACGTTTAAAACGATTATTAATATGTAAAAACTCGAAGCGCAAGAATTGTAAACGACGTAAAAATGGCCGCCGTTACAGTCTGCGCAGTGGGTTGCCTACTTCGAGATTTTTAGCAAATGTCAAAAATATTAAAAAGTTAACTTTGAAATATTTTTAGCAAATGTCAAAAATATTAAAAAGTTAACTTTGAAATATTTTTCTCGTTTCTGATTTTTTTTTTAATTTTGTGTAGATTATTTATAATCTAGGATAACCACAAATCTCAATTTTGAATGTTCCATGATAATTAATAAATAAAATTGCAATATTTTAATTTTTGGCAAGATATTTCAATCAGTTAAAATTTTGACATATTTTATAAAATCAGCTTATAGTTCAAAATAAATTTTTGTGCGAATATTTATAAAATATAATAATCATATTTCATAAAATAATTTATATCTTCTCTCAAAAATGCATTTTAAACTTTTAAATTGATTTTACAAAATAATGTGTCAAAATAAAAATTTTGGACTTGCACTGTTCTTAATATCACCAATTCAATTATTTTTTCGACATGTTTAATCAGGAGCACTGAAAAAAAATTCTTAAGGTCACACATGTCAAAATTCTGGTGCCAGTGACAGATGTCAAAAATGACAGTTGACAGCTGTCAAATCCGAAAAACAATAAGATTTTTTATAAAAAAAATTGTAGATGATTTATTATATAATATTTTGGCATAAAAATTGTCAAAATATATTCTTCTATTAGGCTATACATTAAATTAAAAAAAAACGAAAGAAATATTTTACAAAAGTAGAGATAATTTTAATAATTGAAAGGTGTGGACGGGTTAAAAAAAATTTATCTTGTACCATATCTGTCAATTATTAAAATTATCTTCACTTTTATAAAATATATCTTGCGATTTTTTTAAATTAATGTACAGCCTGATAAAATAAGAATATATTCGACAATTTTAATGCAAAATAATATGTAATAAATTACCTACAATTAAAAAAAGAATTGTGAATGATGCAGGTGACATATGTCAAAAATGACAGTTGACAGGTGTCAATTACGAAATACAATAAGCTTTTTATAAAAAATGTAGATAATTTATTAATTAATATTTTGGCATAAAAATTGTCAAAATATTTTCTTTTATTAGGCTATACATTAAATTTAAATAAAAACGCAAGAAATATTTTATATAAGTGGAGATAATTTTAATAATTGAAAGGTGTTGATGGGACAAAAAAATTATCTCGTCAATTATTAAAATTATCTCCACTTTTATAAAATATATTTTTCGTTCTTTTTTAATGTAAAGATTGATAAAAGAAGAATATATTTGACAATTTGAATGCAGAAATAATATGTAATAAATTGCCTAAAATTTTTTTTATCAAAATAGTTTTGTGGTTTGTCCCGGTCGTATGCCGCATGTCAAAATGATGATGCAGGTGACAGATGTCAAAAATGACAGGTGTCAAAATAATCTTTTTGAAACCTGTCATTTTTGACATCTGTCATTTGCATTATTTTTGATTTTTTTTGCAAATGCAACGATTGACATCTGTCAGCTTATTGGATTTCGTATTATCGTTTTATATGGCTCATTTTTGACATCTGTTATAGATTATTTTTGACACCTCTCACCTGTCATTTTTGACATCACTCATTTGTATCATTTTTGATTTTTTTTGCAAATGCAACGATTTTACAAAAAAAATACTAGACACAAATTCCGAATAAATTTTTGAAATTGGCTTAAAAAGTCACCTATAAAAACAAAGTTTTACTTACAGCCTTAAGAACGAAAAAATGGCACAACCTGCGAAAAATTAAAAAATTGCGATAATAAATTTCGCGGTAATTAATTATCAAAATTTGTCGCTCCGTCTGTTAAATGAATAGACTTTGCGCTATTAATTAAAACCATTGAATTGATAAAATAATTGTTTCTGAATACTGTAACGTCGCGTTTTGATGTTCTAACGTTGGTTTCTATTGAAAACAATGACTTTGAATGTGACATATGATTTACCCTTTGGTTGTGGTATATTTTACGCCGCCCTATGACGTATGCAGCTAACTATAACTATAAATTGAATTTGAATCGTTTCGTTGCGCGGATAGCGAGAAGCCCATCTTTCAGAAAAAAAATTGTTATTGTTATTTTTGTTTTTATATACACTCTTGTTAATTTCTGGTTATAGAAATTTAATTATAGAATCGAGCGGTCCCGATTAATTTGGACCTGCTCGCGTCAAAAATCAGTTTGAATCAATTTCATTCCATTTTTTTTCACATATTATTTTCCATAGGTAGTTGGTCATCTTTCATGCAACCGCTTCGTTCGAAAAAAAATCTTTGCGCTTTTGTTTCGAGCGTAGGCGGTTGTTTCTCGAGACTCATGTAAATGCTGGCACCGTCATTTTTTTCTCGCTTGCCTGAAGATATTGATTTTAAAATTCCGGCAAGAGGTGCTTGTATAACATAATAATAGGTGCCTTAAATGCGTTTTTTGTTTTATTTCCGTTTAATTTTTATAATTAAATGTTTGGCACCGTTTTACCGGAACATGGGAGGAACTTACTTAGTTGATCTAAGTATTAAATGAATTGAAGATTAATGAATCTTTGCGACAACATACAACAAGTCGAACAACACTTGACCTTTCTTTATTTTCATGTGTATTTGTCCACGCCTTTTTTGGTAGTGGATCTTGAAAAAAAAAATATTTAAACAGTTGATAAAAAAACTTTTTTTTTGACAAATAAAATCCTTTGTTTATTTGTACGATTTTTTATTATTTCAATAACCCACGCCATTTTTGAAGTATGGAAGCTGAAAATCGAATTTAATTGACTGTGAAGGTAAGTATTAAGTTACAATGTAAATTTTATATATACAGGGTGTTATGTAATTAATGTTATATATTAAAATGGGTTGTTCCTTAGGGTCCATAAAGAAGCACCTGAAACTTTTTTTTTCTAAATTCCAAAGTCTAAAAATAATTTATAATAACCTTTATACTACCAAAAAGTACGCCACTGATCGACTAGGAACTTTAGGTTAATCTGGTGGGTTTATTATGTTATGGTTGGTAACAGTGTTTCCAAAATCTCTCAAAAAAGTTGACAAACATTGTTTAAATTTAGCTTAATTACAAAAATGACAAAATAAACAATGCAAATTGTCAATTTGGCGTTTTTATTAATTGTTGGTTATGTCACTTTTGTACTGAAGGTAAATTCAAACAAAATCTGCCAACTTTTATGACAGAATCTAGTGCATTTCTTTTAAATTTTAGGTTATGTTTTCAAATTGTAAATATCTTAACTAAGGGAAGTGGATTTATTTACACAAATTAAATGTTTAAAGTTTAACCTGTGAACTGGTCCCAATTTCATCTGAGTAAACAGAGAAAAAAACTGATGAAAATATTAATTTTGTGGTTATGGATTTCAAATTTCAAAGGTACTAAATTTTCTAATCATTGCTTAAGCTAATAGCTGGATCAGTAAATAAATACAGAAGGGTATTAGAGCTTTAAGGGCATAAAACTTTTGTATTTATTGAGTTTTTATTTATTTTTTGCAAGAAAAATTTTTAGTAACAATTTTTCACATCTGGCAACGCATAGCTACTTTGTTGGTTGGTATCTATGTACTCACAAAATACAGGTGTGCAGAGATAAACAAGTGTGTAACCAGTGGTGTATCACAAAAAATATAAAAAACTTCTAATGCATATTTTTTCTTTATCTTTGGAAAAATGTTTTTTTAAATATTTTTCCTTTATTCCTTATGTCAAAAGGTATTCAGTATTTTAATATATAACATTAATTACATAATACCCTGTATAATATTGAAGTTTTTATTAAACAGATGGAAAAAATCGAACGTTTTTGCACATAATTTGATTGAAAGTAAGGTTAGAACTGCCTGACAGATGTCAAACCGATCAGTTTTCAGATAAATTGTCAAATAAAATTAACCTTAAAATCTGAATAAACGTTCGTATATACAGTTGTATTCATTAAAAAAGCGTACAAGAATTAGAATGAGAGGAAACTGTCAACATTATTGCGTAAAACCGGCTTTCCACTGACTTAAGTCACTATAACTGACAGTAGAAAATAAAAATGCCTCGTCAGTTAAAAAGGCTCAAATAGTATCAAGAATCGAAGAAGAATGGTCAATTCGTACTGTGGTATAATAGAAATAAAAAATCTATATTAAAAATTAAGCAACGCTGGGAACAGGTCGTCCCAAAATGAACAGGATGCTGCTTTTTTGAGATATCTGAGGATTTATGGGAAACTATACAACTATACTATACCTACTATACTGCTGGGAAGATATTAATCCAAATATTGTATTAAATTTAATTCAGTTCATCCCAAATAGATTGGCTCAAGTAATAGAAAAACAGGGATGCATGACTAAATATTAAATTTTGTTTAATGTTTGTTTTTTCATTATTAAAAGGTAATAATTTTTGTAATATTATTTAATTAACCTACGACGTCAATGCTCTTTATAACCTATAATAATTATTTTAATGACTTATGTCAGTGATAAGCCGGTTTTAAGCAATAATATTATTTTGACAGTTTTCTCTCATTCTAATTTTTGTACGCTTTTTTATTGAATACAACTGTACATAGGTATATGAATTCATGTTAAAAACTATACCATAATATTATGAATTTACGGTGGTTAGGATTTCGTATGTTTTTTTAACCCCTCTATATATTTGAAACAGGTTATTATCTTTTGACACCTTAATATTATTAAAAAATACAATTGTACATACATAAAATATTTATTAAAAAAATCTACTTACTGAGATATTACACTTCACGGTGGATAGGTTTTTAAATAGCAAATTAATAAACTTAAACATAGGTTAACCTAGAAAGAGTAACAGTCACGGAGGATAGGTTTTAGACTTTTAAAAGATAGTAAAAAATAATTAATTGCGGTTAAAAATCTGTAATATCTCCTAAATTATGAAGGATCAAAACACAATAAAAGTGTAGGTCAAACTCATTTATTTTTATTAAATATCACGGGATAACACCATCGGGGATTCACCCGTATGTTACAAGAGCATATAAAAAACATATTTAGAACAACACTTTTTTCTTTACTACATTTGAACTACCACTCGCATCTGTCAAATAAATTGTTCCAAGTGAACTACCAAATGTTTTGAATTTGTCTTATGATTTTCCACGCAAAAAATGTTTATTTTTACCAGAGTTAGCACAAAAACTCCCATATTAAATAACATAAGATGTTTCTGCCAAAAGAAATTGGAAAAACCAGGTAAGTGAAGATTTAAAATAGGTTATATAAGCCTGTAATCGAGACTGTTTTGTGTAGTATTAAATTGCCCCAACTACATACAACTTTCGGAGGATTTCAACAGTGAAAATGTAGAATTGGTTGATAAACTGGTGACCGATATGACCATTTATGAGGATTTTTTAAGCGATACGGAAGAAAAAAGTATTTTAGAGGAAATCGAACCCTACATGAACAAACTGAGGTATGAGTTTGATCATTGGGATGATGTAAGCATTAATATTAATATAAATACAAAAAAATACAAAATGTTAATGTTACAGGCAATACATGGCTATAGAGAGACAGAAAGACTTAACTGGAACGAAAACAACACTAATATATTGAATAGGGTTAGAAAATTGGCTTTTCCACCCAATGTGGGCCAATTAAAGTTTGTACATATACTAGATTTAGATAAAAAAGGTTATATTAAACCCCATATTGATGCTGTTAGGGTAAACTACACATACACTTCCTCCGTAAACAACATTAAATATTAATTTTTAGTTTTGTGGTGATACAATAGCAGGTTTAAGTTTATTAACCGATAGTGTTATGAGGTTGGTACACGATAAGCACAAGAATTTGCACGCTGACGTTCTCTTAAAACGCCGATCTTTATACATAATGAAAAACGCTGCCCGATTCGACTACACCCACGAAATTCTCAGCAACGAAAACAGCTTTTTCAAAGGCGATCCAGTAAATAAGGACCGCAGAATATCGGTTATATGTAGAAACGAACCAGATCCCCGCAATAAAAACGATTAAATAAAAATAAAGTGCATTTTATTCTACATAACCTCAAAAACATTCAAACTTCCCGCCGCAAGGGAAGTTGATTCATAGCAGTTGGCGGCAGTGTTGTTGCTAACTTCGCTTAACCGGTATTTGTCATTACTCGAGGTGTTTTTTGAAGTTCCCGAATTATATCGATAAAATGGCTATAAGTTTATTAAATCCGAAAGCTGAGGTCGCCAGGGCTGCCCAAGCGTTAGCTGTGAACATTTCCGCGGCTAAGGGTATCCAAGATGTGATGAAATCGAATTTGGGGCCCAAGGGTACAATGAAAATGTGAGCATATGATTTTTGGTCATGAGTTTTTTAATTAAATATTGAGTAATTCTTATGTTTGGTGGTTGGGTTTTGATAAAACCATGGTAAATTATGTTTTGAGGGTATTTTTGTCCAATTTTTCTTTACATTTCTCACATTTTTTGTTCATAACCTCACATTCTAGAATATTTCTTCTATTTTATTTTTACATTGTACAATGGTTTTATTTAATTTTCATATTAACTATATGGATTTAATAGGTTGTCAACTTTCTTATTTTGCATTTTATAAAAAAAAGTCATTCATCTAAAAAAGTTTTGCTTATTCTGTAAATTCCATAACCATTTTAAAAATTTCGAAATAACATACAGGGTGGTTAAAAAAACAAGAAAACGTATAATCATGTCAGGAATAAAGTAATTGTTTTTTAAGAAATGTACAAATAATGTCAATAAAAATTCCTCTAAGATTTGTAGATTTTTTACAAAACCACTTCTTGACTTAATTATACGTTTTCTTGTTTTTTAACCACTCTGTGAAATTTTTAAGATGGCTATGGAATTCACAGAATAGGAATTTCTTTTTCTACTAAAATGTAAAATAAGAAAGTTTACAAGTATAGTTAGTTTATAGTGAATTTCGTATTAAAATAAAAAATATATAAAATCATTTAGAAATGTAATGAAATGACAAAGTAACTGTTGAAATTGGTTATGTTTGTATTTTTATTTTTGCATATACTTCATTTGTGAGTCTCCACTAGGGTTTTAAAATTTCCGGCGAAAAAAAATGTTTTTTAATGTTTAAGTTTATTTTTTTTGTAGAGATATATTTTTTTAAATTAAAATAATGTTAAGTTGTTCATTGGCAATGAATTATTGCCCCTTTTTCAAATGTGTAATTTCCGAAAAAAAATTCAATTTTTACTAAAAAAGACAATTTTTCCAAGGCCTGGGAACAATAGCAAATTTGTGTAGAAAATTTATTAATTGGTGGTTAAGTCAGAACATTCCGTGGACCAAAAGCCAAAAAAAATTCGAATTGTTTTATTACGGTATTCGTTAGGATTGAGCGTTGCACGTTTTTTATCTAAAAACTAGAAACTTTAAGCTTCAAATTGCTTTTTTTTACGGCTCCAATACGACCATTTTTAACGAAGAAATCGCAAAAAAAAAATTTTATCCTTTAATTTTTTCTATTAGTGTAGAAGTTTTACATTGCTATTGGTTTCTTATGTGGAAACTACCAAATAATAAGAAATCAGATTTTTTAGTCTCAGTCAAAATTTTCAATAATGAAAAATATAATATATTCTACATTTCATTTTATTATTAATAATAAAATACATTTTACCCAACATTTCATTTTGAAAAATTACTTAATTTTTTATGGCACGCCGTTTTAACATTTATTAAATAATTTTTTAATTTAAAATTTTATTGGTTTAAAATTTTCCTAACTAAAAATTTTAGGTTTACATTTATAAATTTAAAATCTTTTCAACTATCATGTATTGAAAGACAAAATTTACTAACTAACAGTTCACTTCTGTATTAAACAATATTATTTTCTATCAATTTTTGCAAAAATTTCTAACTAGGTATCATTTTTTAATAAAAATAATTTCCCAAGTTAATTTATTTGGGTGGCATTTTGTAAACTTAAATAAATATTTTATAAAATTATTGGGATTAATTTGGTATTTAAAAATAGTATCAAGCCATTTAAAAAAAAACACATATAAAATATTTTCTACCAAAACAAAATTTTTGTAAACTCAAAACCTATGATAATCAAAAAATATTTTAAATATAAAATGCAACTGTAAAAGTTTAAATTTAAAAATATTGATTTTTAAAAAATGTAATTTTAACATTTTATTCTTCAAAATTATTGGTTTGAATCTGTAAAGAGTCATTTAAATGATAGTCGATATATTTTTAATAAAAAAAATTGAACATTACATTTAAATGTTAGTATTAAAGTGGTAATTTTTGCATTAAAAATTTATCGACCATCATTTAAATGACTCTTTACAAATTTAAACCAATAACTTTTATTTTTAACAATTTTAAATTGATACATTTTTAAGACAAAATTGATAACTTTACATTTAAATGTAAGTCGATAATTTTTAAATTACAAAGTGTAAACGTAGCTTTAGTACAAGGCACAAGATCGGAGTCACGCTGTAGCCAGTTTGATCCGCAGTGTTGCCAAATTGTGCTTGCTCCATAAATATTTGACGCGTTTTACAAATTATCGTAATGAAATGTTTCTTTATTGCATAAATTTAATAATAGAACAACAACATTTTTAGTGCCTATTGTACTAAGTTGATTCGACAATTAAAAAACATCAACGGATCAAACTGGCTGCATCGTGGCACCGATCCCAGACTCTTGTGCCTTCTACTAAAGCTACGTTTACACTTTGTAATTTAAAAATTATCGACTTACATTTAAATGTAAAGTTATAAATTTTGTCTTAAAAATATATCACTTTATTATAACCAAAACTTCTAAAAATCAATATTTTTAAACATAAATTGTTACTGTTGCATTTATATTTAAAATATTTTATTGACTACACTATGATAGTTTTAGACACTTTTTTTTCATAACATTGAGTACTCCAGCTTAGTTTAACTAATTTTGGGCCGCTGATTTCAAAAATGTCATTTGTTTTTCTCTAGGACGTCTAGGATTTAAAATAATTTCGTAATAAAATGTTCTGTTCAATCACTTAAAAATGTAAGTTTTTTGTTAGTATTTTAATTATTTATTTAATTATTTTGGCTTAAATTTATCTTGAATGTACTGAAGTAATTGGTATACGGCAAATAGATCATTTTTATCTTAACAATATGACATTTTAAATACTAAAACTAAAATTTCATGTAAAAAAAACAATCATTATTTAACATTTTTTGTCGTTTATTTGAATTATTGAATTGAAACTGCAACAAAGTAAACAACTTTCGGTATTTTTTATCCAAATTAAGCCCACAAAATTTAATGAATAGCATAATTTTGCTTTTTTCTACCTTAAATTTATTAAATCCTATCCTAGGTTTAAATATCTTGTTTACTTGTTGTATAAAGCTTCAAGATTTATGAATGCATATTCTCTAATGACATTGTACTATGCTTTTTTCCATAGCATTGCTACTTATGGTATTATTGCCTGGGGAGGGGCTTTTGGCAGTGCATTGGAGGGTCTGCAAAGAATACAGAATAGATTACTTAAAATTATTATTTTGAAAGATAAAGATGTAAAGATGCCTCTATCTATTAAAGAATGTTTTTTGCTTGAGACTATCTTGTTAAACTATAAAAAACTCTCAACAAGTTTCAAAGAATCAAAAAGTACTACAAGAAATAAAATAATTTTTCCAACAATACGAAAAACGATAAAACTAAACAGTAATGAACTAGTGGCAATAAAACTGTTTAATGCACTGGATACAAATTTAAAAAAAAATTGAAAAAAATAAAAATACAAAAAAAATATTAAAAAATGGATGAGTGATAATACGCACAAACTCCTAAATCTTCAAGTAATTAAAGCAAAGGACTTATTAAAACAATAACACAACCCTCTTAATAATTATACTCTATATTATAACATCAAAAAGTTTAGTAAATCAATCAATCTTAAAAGTACAAGTTTTCTTAGTTTTTAGTTTATAAGTATTATTTAGTTTGTATTTTAAACTAGGTCTGCGCACAGGTTTAATAAACCTCTTGCAGATTTTATGTAATGTCCAATTCATAAAATGTATCCCATACACCTGGTTCAATAAATTATTATTATTATTATTATTAAATATCGAATTGAATTATGGTATTATTGTGCTTAATTCCCCAAGCAAATGCCTTTGTACTTTAATTTGATATTAAATTAAAGACCTAATAAATAAGAGTGGAGATTGAATAATTGGGTACTTTAGGCATGATGTGAATAAAAAAATATAAAATAATAGTCGAAAAGTAATGTTTATACCAAAACCCATTTACTTGTTGCCTTTTCAATTTAATTAAAAAAACGACACAAAAATTTCAAAAAATGATACTTTTTACCAAAAAAACATTATAATTTTAGTTTTGGTATTTAATACTACTATTATAGTATAATAGTATACGGCTACAATGAAACAAAAAAATTTCTACTTGACATTTATTTACCGATGACTTTGTATGGAGTCCCTGTACAAAAAAAGTCAAAAATATACAGAACATTTTGAGATAATTGGGCAGAGTATTTTATTTCGCAAGTATTTCGAATCCTAGACGTTCCGGAGCAAAACGAGTGCCATTTTTGAGATCAGCAGCCCAAAATTAGGTATTATGTGTGGGCGTACTCAATGTTAGTAATTCGAACTCATAGTGCTATCAATTGTTTTGAGTTTAAAAAAATGTATCGTTATAAATTTCTGTTAAAACATAATTTAAGTGCTAAACTTTAATCTTTAAAGATTTATCTAATAAATGCTAAAACGGCGTGCCATAATTTTTTAAGATTGATGATATTTATTGACAGAATATACTTTATTGTAGCGGATTTGAAAAAAAAAAACAAACAAAAAAACGGTTTTTTTTACATCTCTAGCTATAACTTTTGATTACCTGTCCATATTAATTTGATACCCTTGTGTTATCGAGATGAAAAACGGAATAAATATGTTTTGCCATAACTTAGGTTGGTCTCTGGCGCGGGCGACATCAAAATCACCAAGGACGGCAACGTCTTGCTGCACGAGATGCAAATCCAGCACCCTACGGCCTCCTTGATAGCCAGGGCTTCGACCGCGCAGGACGACATGACCGGCGACGGCACCACCTCCACCGTCCTGGTGATAGGCGAGCTCCTCAAGCAGGCCGACATCTACATATCGGAGGGATTGCACCCGAGGATCCTGGCCGAAGGATTCGACAAAGCCAGAGCCAAGGCGCTGGAGGTCTTGGAGAAGATCAAGATCCCCGTCGAGGCGTCCAGAGAGAGCCTGATGGACGTGTGCAAGACCAGCTTGAGGACCAAGGTGCACCAGAAGCTGGCCGACGTTCTGGCCGAGGTGTGCGTCGATGGGATTTTGGCCATCAAGCAGGGGGATAAACCTGTCGACTTGCACATGGTTGAGTTGATGGAGATGCAGCACAAAACTGAAGCTGACACTTCTTTGGTCAAAGGTTAGTTTTTTCGTTTTTATTTTACATTTTGGGACACATCTGCTGCAAAAGGTGACAAACTGTTGTTGCATTCTTATTTTTGGTCAAAGATAAAAATGCAACATTTACCTTTTGGCCAAGAACTAAAAAAATATCGAAATATGACCATTTTTGAATTATCCCGTAAAGTACCAAAATTCGATTGATTTGTTTTTGATCTGAATTTTGGGAATTGGGAAGTTTTTCAGAAAAATTGATTTTTGCATTTTTTTCATTTTATTCAAAGGGTAATACAAAAAAATATAGTCAATTTAATAAATTTATATTATTTTATTATAATTAATTTAATAAATTTATTTTAAATTATAATAATGTAAAGTTGTTGATTGCTTTGTATATTTCCCATAAAATCAATTTTTCCCAAAAAAGACAAAAAAATTAAAAAAAAACAGGTTTTTTTTCGACACTTTAGTCGTTTTTTCGCGTAAATACTATGAAATACTACGGTTAAATAAGTCATGACGTCACAGTTAATTCATATAACCATGGTTAGGTTTCTAACATTTGACATTTGTTTACTTGTTCATAACCTATAATTTTTAAAATGTGTTTTTACCTATTTATTGACCATATTTCTATGCTTTTACAGGTGTAAATAAATTTCTTTGTCTCTTCTTTTACCTTGTATATTCTTTTTCTATGAACCCTAGTTCTTATACCTACCTTTTCTATACCTCTTTTTATATATAAACAGTTCTTCACTGTTGTTTACCATAATTAAAATCCAACAGTGTTTAACGTTTATACGAAAATTATTATTGTGAAACTCAAAATTTAGAATGGAACCCCAAAGAAAAAGACGAAGGTTGGCGGTATGTTTTGGAGAAGATATGTTTAGCACACAACATTATTCCTACATAAACATATTAAATATATATATTAAAAAGAGAAAGACTATTAACCACGTTGAATAACTAGCTCAGCGATATAGTTTTATGGTCTGGTATTTGTGACGTCATAGTTAGGATTTTTGAACGCACTCTAAACGCAAAAATGCCTTAACTATTAACCAAGGTTAAGTTTAATGACCATAGTATTTCATGGTATTTACGCGAAAAAACGACTTTTAAAACCCTAATAGTGATACATAAATTCTGTTTTTTTTCAATAAAAGTCAAAAAACTTGAAAAAGTAAAAAAGAATTTAAAAAAAATACAACGGAAGTAAAAAAAGTCAAACAGAAAATCAAAAAAGGTCAAAAAGAATAAAATAAAGACTAAAAAAGTCAACAACAAAAAGTCATATAGTTGAAAAAAATCAAGAAGTCGAAGTAAGTAAAAAAGACAAAAAGATTAGTAAAACAAAAACAAACAAAAAAGTCGGACATTTGTGTTGTGAATGTTGACAAAAACTTATATGCCAATTTTACCGGTTTAATTGCATACAAAGTTTTGACAGTTTATGTACCAAAATTCAACTTATTGTTTATTTTTTAGTTACTCATACTGTAGTTCTTGTATTTGGTTCCTCATAAGAAAAACAGATACTAAAAAAAACATTTCAATTTTTCACCTGCTGACACAGCACAATATAAGAAACTAAATACTTTCAGAATTTAAAAAATCAACATTTTTCTGAATTTCCAAATATATGTACACTGATATCAAGAAAAAAGTGAATTCACGACTATGATTATAATCATATTTATACGATCGCAAAAACAACAACATAACTATCGTTTTATTTGACACATCAATTTATAAAATTATAATTTTGCAATTTAACTTAACAAATTATTTATTGTATTGGAAATGGATATTTTCTAAATATTATTTAACGTTTAGGTTTATTTTTTTAAATTAATTTAATTCAATGATTTATTTGTTTTTTATTTCTATAATAAATTTATTTTAAATTATAATAATGTAAAGATGTTGATTGAAAGACAAAGAAAGGAAAAACCGTTTTTTTTTCGACAATTTAAAACATTATAGTTATACATAAATTCTGTTTTTTTTCAATGAAACCTTGAAAGAGTAAACGATTTTTCCGTCAAATTTGGCACGTTCCGTTGTCTTCGCTTAACTTTCGAACGAGCGGAGATTTTTCGTCCAAACTCGAGGAAAAGGGTCTTCGGGACAAGAAGTTATCGGCATTCGATTTCTTCTTTCTATATACGGAGCTCCTAAAAAAACTACCTGCTTTGATAAGTATCGATATGCATGTTTCGTTAAAAATCGAACATATAGTCGAACAAAAAATCAAGAAGTTGAAATTAGTAAAAAGGTCAAAAAGATTAATAAAACAAAAAAATAAAAAACTCGGACATAGAAACAAAATAAATCAAAAAGTCAAATTATTCCTTAATTGCGTTGTGAATAATGACAAAAATTTATATGCAAATTGCAATCAAGAAAAAAAAATCATCAATTTCTTATTGTCATGTTAATTAAATACTTCTCCTATAAAGTCCATTGAACCAAAATTATCAATCTGTCATTTTCGTCTAGAAGATCCGGCAACACTGGATTACAACACGTGATTTCATTTATTGACCTTTCATGGTTTTAGTATCTTTGTTTTCTACTCTTAAGACTTTTGCTGCATTCAATATACTGCATTATGTTGCTTTATTTTTGGGTTTCATACCTTTTTTAATATTTTTTATACTTCCGCCTTTAAAATGCCCATTGTCGTACATGTTTCCATGACAAGCTGTGGCTTTATGGCGCTTTAGTCACGGGCTAAAGTTTGTTAACAGTTGTCAAATGTCATACAATCGTTAAAATAAAGTGCCTTTCTTTTAAAATAATACTTAATCATATGTTGAAGTTATTTTAATATTTTAGAGTAATAATTATAGTTAAGTTTAATTAAAATAATAACTTTCAATGTTAATGGTGAAAATTACGTCAAAAATGTTTATTGGGATGGTTACTTTATTTTCGTATATATTTAATTTAAATAATTTTTTAGATAATATTTAGTATTTGTCGTAGAAAAAGTATAGAGTGCAACTGGTTTATAAGCTTTTCTAGGCTCTCATTTAATTAAGCACTCGCTCATTTTAAGATTTTAAATAAAATTGCATATAGAAATGTCATTGTCAAAAGCGTTACCATAGTCGCATGTTTTCTTGTTTAAATCCTATTTTTTTCGTTTTTTATTTCACGTTTTTGTGTATTAAAATAAAAAATCATTTAGAAAATTGTCTGTTTTTTAATCAACCACCTATCTCTGGTGGACATATTTGGTTTTGACCTGATTCTCATTCATTCATAGAATTTTTTCGTCAACACCTTATTTTCGTCGTAAAAGTGCAAACTCGAATATGGTCATATTTCAATGTTTTTTATTCGTTCTCGCTCAAGAGGTCAAGTAATCGTTTTTCTTGGAAGGTATCGTGATGGACCACGGGTGCCGCCACCCCGACATGCCCAAACAGCTGAAAAACGCGTACATCCTCACCTGCAACGTGAGCATGGAGTACGAGAAGAGCGAGGTGAACTCGGGCTTCTTCTACAAAACGGCCGAGGAGCGCGAGAAGATGGTGACGGCGGAGCGCGACTTCATCATGCAGCGCGTGCGCAAGGTGGTCGAGCTGAAGAAGAAGCTCTGCGACGGCACCGACAAGAGCTTCGCGGTGATCAACCAGAAGGGCATCGACCCCATGAGCTTGGACATGCTGGCCAAGGAGGGCATCATGGCGCTGCGCAGGGCCAAGAGGAGGAACATGGAGCGTCTAGCGTTGGCCTGCGGCGGCGTTGCCGTCAATTCTTTGGACGACCTGAACGAGTCTCATCTCGGCTACGCCGGGTTGGTCTACGAGCACGTGCTCGGCGAGAACAAGTACACCTTCGTGGAGGAGTGCAAGGTGCCGCAGTCGGTCACCATCCTCATGAAGGTATGTATTTTTTTTAATTTTACCACGCGTAGAAACAAAAAAATGCAAAAAAAAACATTCAAACAATCTTTTAAATTTGTATAATAATAATAGCACACTCCATGGTACAGATGAACTACTCACGGTGCTGTTCTGAGAGGTGATTTTTGGACTTTCTGTGAAACCTATTTTTTTTTTATATTCTTGTTAATTAGGTCATAACTAAAATTTTAAGAGCAAAATAAAAAAAATTTGACGGTTAATTTTGTTTTAATTGGATGTTTATTAAAAATATGTATGCACACTTTCAATTCTCCAATTAAAACTTGCGATTTTATTTAAATATTATCATAACTTTTTAAATCAGATTAAAGATTAGTTAATTTCCTTAAAAAAAGGTCTATACATTTTTTATATCTTTTACACTTTTTAAGTTTTAATTTAAGGTTAAATGTATAGTATTCATTTATTAAACAATAATTCTAAGGGTGCCACATTTTATTTAGGGCCGATTTATTTGACGAATAATTTCTTTAGATACTAGATATTGCCAAGACATGAAAGTTATCGGCCCGATAAACTTTACTAAAGATGAATAAACCGGTCCTTAGTTAAATTTCATGAATTTCTTCGTAACTTTTACTACAATTTTTCATTTTTGTTTATAAAAAACACTTTAAAAAACTAAACAAAAATTATAGAATACGTATACTGAAAATGACAATTCAAACATCAAATAAATTTTTAATAGATCTAAGTTTCATGGCAACCTTTAAGGATATATTAATTAAGGGAACATAAATGTATACGTCAAAGGTTAGATTAAAAGTTTGAACGTTTATTGCAACAAAACAGTAAAATATATAAAAAAAATTGTAAAAACCTTTTTTTTAGTTATGCAAATATTAAATATTTAAATTAAATCGCTAGTTTTAATTGGATAATTGAAAGAGTGCATAATATTTTTAATAAACAGCCAATTAAAACAATTCAAACCGTCAAATTTTTTTTATTTTGCTCTTAAAATTTTAGTTATGACCTAATTAACAAGAATATAAAAAAAAATTAGGTTTCACAGAAAGTCCAAAAATCACCTCTCAGAACAGCACCGTGTACTGTCAATTTGTCGCCAACCCCCACGGTCTTATATGCAGGTCTTGCAACTTTAAGCTTCGAGGTGGCTTCCTTAACGTGCCAAGCCGCTAGGTGGCGCTAAGATCGAAGGGTCAAGTCAATTAAATGAACTACTTAGTTAAATGTGGAACTACTGCATAACCATAACCTAACTTTTTAAATTCTTTTTCTATGTTTTGTTTACATTTTCAAAAATTTAATATTTGTGAGTTTGTTTCGGATAATTTACGTTAACAAAATAGGACAACAAAGTCTATACTCTATGCACAAAGTCCTCGTCCGTCACATGCCCAGAAGTACAACATGTTAATGTATAAAATACATACGTATATCATATATATGTTACGGCTAATGTGTAAACATGGATAGTTTATAAAGTAGCTGGGTAGTTTATAAACTAGCCAAACTGTCAGCTATTTTAATTGAAAACGTATTTTTAACTAAATTAGCGGCTAGTTTGTAAACCAACCAAGAGTCTTGGCTAATTTACTTGAAATTATTTAGGAATCGCTGGATAATTTGTAAACTTTAATGCCGGAACGATAGCTTTGCTGGTTACATTTTGGCACAACACAGGACTTCATGTCTATTAAAAAGCACAAATACAAATGTATAACAAGAACAAATATACCTAACAAGAAAAAATAGAACAATATAATATAACAATAACGAATATCACAATAACAATAAGTAAAAACTCCCTGTAACAAAATACACAAGCTTGTTTATAAAAATGTAGGTTATGTTTCTTAACACAGCTGTGAACAAAAGTAGGTAGTTCATTTGACCTTTTATCCCATAGACTTTAAGGACGGTTTTACAATTATTTACAATTTACGATTAAGTTAGCTTATTTAGCGGATAACTTTCATAGAAACCTTCTATCTAAGAAAATTATCCACCAGAGAGCTTATCTAACGATTGTAAAACCCAAAGATAAAGAAGGTAAAAACGACCTTTAAACATCTATGGTTTATCCATCCAACTTGATGCGCCATCTGGTGGGCGAAGTTGCAAGACCTGTATATAAGACCGTGATAAAAGACAATATTGACATCATAAAACAGAAACATGTAAAAAAGAGTTTCAATTAACATTTTAATATGATTACCCCTCGTATTCATAGCTTGATTGTACAGGTGAACTACTGTCAAGTTATTGCCAACACTCAAAAAACAAAATAATAATATTTTTTACCGCAAAATGTGGTGTTTTACACTATTTATGGTTAAAAAACTATCCTAAATATTAATAATATACAGAGTTAAGCCTGATTTATAGATTGCCTTCCGTCCTTCCTTCCTCCCGTAAAAGATGAACAATACGAAAATCGTAGTGCCATTTATAGATTTCTGTACGGGAATCTTTAAATGGCACTACGATTTTGGTATTGTTCATCTTTTACGGGAGGAAGGAAGGAAGGAGGGCAATCTATAAATCAGGTTTTAAATAGTTTAAAACAATAAATAAACTTTTTAAATAGTGTTTTAAATTATTTTTTTATCTTTGAGTTGGCAACGCATATAAAACCGAACTGTCATATAGACGTCAAACTAGTAAACAAATCGACCGAAATATCAATAAACAATTATTTAAATCGTGATAAAAGACTTCCTAATATTTTGCTTTTCCTTAAAATGTATTACCTTGTTACTTCTTATTGACACTTTTGCATTAATAAAAGAACAGTTTATCAATATTGACAGCATAAAACAGAATCATGTAAAAAATAGTTTCAATTAACATTTTAATGTGATTACTCCTCGTACTCAAAGCTTCATTGTACAGATGAACTACTGTCAAGTTGTTGCCAACTTGAAAACAAAATAATATTTTTTACCACACAGTGTGGTGTTTTACACTATTTATGGTTAAAAAACGACCCTAAATATTAATAATATGCAGAGTTAAATAGTTTAAAACAATAATAAAAACCTTTTAAATTCTATTTTTTATCTCTGAGTTGGCAACGCACATAGGAATGGAAAACTGTCAGGTTGACGTCAAACTAGTACAAAATATCAATTAACCTATGATTTAAATCGCGATTAAAGACTTTTACCAATATTTTGCTATTCCTTACAATGTATACATATATAATATATAATATATTATCATTTATTGACAACATAAAACAGAAAAATATGTTAGAATTTTAATTAACAATTTAATTACCCCTCGTAATCACAAGCTCCATGATACAGATGAACTACTGCGAAGATATTGCCAACTCAAAAACAAAATAATAATAGAATGTTGTTTTAGACTATTTTTAGAGAACAAAAGACATTAAATTGTTATAACTTACAGAGTTAAATAGTTTAAAACAATAAATAAACCTTTGAAATATTGTTTTAAATTCTATTTTTTCATCTTTGTGTTGGCAACCCCCATCAGGTCAGAAGTATCAGACAAACGTAAAAGTAGCACAAATCAACCAAAATATCAAAAAACAATTAATTAAATCGCGATTAAATACTTACCAATATTTTGCTATTCCTTACAATGTATTCGAAGTTAATCACACGCTTCGTACTTCCTATTGACACTTTTGCATTTATAGAACAGTATCAATATTGACAGCATAAATGTGATTACTCCTCGTACTTTCATTGTGCATATGAACTACTCTCAAGTTGTTGCCAACTTTTACACTATTTATGGTTAAAAAACGACTGTAAATATTAATAATATACAGTGTTAAATAGTTTAAAACAATAAATAAACTTTTGAAATAGTGTTTTAAGTATTATTTTTTTTATCTTTGAGTAGGCAACGCACATAAAAACAGAACTGTCAGATAGACGTCAAACTAGTAAACAAATCGACCGAAATAACAATGATTTAAATCGTGATTAAAGACTTCCCAAATATTTTGCTATTCCTTACAATGTATGCGCATTCAATCACACGCTTGTTACTTCTTACTGACACTTTTGCATTAATAAAAGACAATATTGACAGCATAAAACAGAAACATGTAAAAAAGAGTTTCAATTAACATTTTAATATGATTACCCCTCGTATTCATACCTTGATTGTACAGGTGAACTACTGTCAAGTTGTTGCCAACACTCAAAAAACAAAATAATAATATTTTTTACCGCAAAATGTGGTGTTTTACACTATTTATGGTTAAAAAACTATCCTAAATATTAATAATATACAGAGTTAAGTCTGATTTATAGATTGCCTTCCGTCCTTGCTTCCTTCCTCCTGTAAAAGATGAACAATACGAAAATCGTAGTGCCATTTATAGATTTCTGTACGGGAATCTTTAAATGGCACTACGATTTTGGTATTGTTTATCTTTTACGGGAGGAAGGAAGGAAGGAGGGCAATCTATAAATCAGGTTTTAAATAGTTTAAAACAATAAATAAACTTTTTAAATAGTGTTTTAAATTATTTTTTTATCTTTGAGTTGGCAACGCATATAAAACCGAACTGTCATATAGACGTCAAACTATAGTAAATTTAAAAGTAAACTACGTACACGTCATCAATAAAACCATGGAGCCTACACAAGGAGCCCGAACTTCATGTAAACAAGAATCTTCCTTAGATAAGAGGGCGCTGGTGTACTACCGGTCCAAAACAGTAGAGGGGTGTAACCAGAGATGGCGCCACTACCTACCACTTTGTGGGGATTTAAGCACTCTATTTCCCACGTTTTCAATTTAAATGATACACGAAGATAACAATCACAAAAACTTTATTTTCTGGTTGATTACAATGGTAATACTTAATCGCGATGTCTATGTGACCGAGGTATTTACAGTACTGCCTCTTTCTCGCTGCGCATGCGCTTGGCTTGAAATGGAGAGAGGTGGAAGCTTTACCCCCACACACTCCCCTCCTAGTGATAGCGATAAATATTTAAAAGTAC